TCATTCACTATGGACTGTTTAGCCTACCCAATTCACCTAGCGCATGACTATGGGGGAAACCGGAGCACCCGGAGGAAACCCAAGCGAACACAGGAAGAACATGAAACATTTTCTTACAACTGAACTTGTACAAATTTGTATGAATTAGCCACTAAACTGACAAAATAGTTGCGTTTTCGAAATCAGGCTGGTTTGTTAGTGTTGTTCTATTTGCATGTGTGTTCTTAACTTGAACTTGTCATGTTGAGCTTGCATATACATGTCCTGTCTGAAAAAGACCTAACAGATGTAATCGGCCATGACTACACACACACACACACACACACACACAATGTTTGTTAGACCCCTTATTTCTCCCCCCGCTTAAGCTCTTTTCAAAAGAATGATTAGTAGGGAAGTGGTTGAAAAGTCCAGGAATCTGCCACCTCCTGGGGGTTTTGTCCGTCCCTAGAAATGGACACACTTCCAGCCTTTGTGTCCCCAAAACAGCCCAGAAGGAAAATATGGAGCCAGCTGGCCTGCTTGAGTGAGGGTTATCACAGGTAGTTGTTATAGCTAGCCAGGTGTTGCTACACTTGTGTGGCTACACTTGTGACTAAACACACCAGGTATGACTGTAGGCATTTGTGTTGGAGGTGGGGGAGCTACTGACTAGCAAAAAAGAAAGACGACATCAAAAGCAGAAATTGTGCATCACATTTGCAGGAACGCTCAGTGCGACACAGAGTCACTTATGAATGAACAACCCCATGTTACACACGAATAAAGCATTAGCTGCGTCCCGTATCGCATACTTATGCACTATTCTACGCCATTTTGTAGTATATATAGTGTAAGTAGTGTGTTTACACTGAAAACTCTAAAAATATTAAGTGCACTTTAATTACCCGGATGATGCACTCATTCAGCCGCTAAAATGAAGTGTGTAATGTTGGACACTTCACGCACTCAACGACTGCAGGTTTGCTCACGTAGAGGAAGGGGCAGAGCTATCGGGCACACACGTTGGATAACTTTATTTATTTTAGATGGTGAAAGCAAAATTCTCCTATGAGAGTGATTATAGCGCCTCCCGATGATGAATGCGGTTATACTCACGGCAGGTATTATTTGATAATTCGGTCGTTTATTTTACTGATTTGGCAACCGTCAAACATGATTAGGGAAACGGTTTGAATTTCCGCTTAGTAAAAAAAACATTAGTGTGCCATTTTGGACGACACTATATACATATATGTAGTGTCTTCGCTCACGAATCTTCGCTGAGGCCAGCCTCCAGCCTCCACCGCTGAGACTGCAGCTCTGCACAAGACTTTTGGCCAGCGGAGAAATTAAAATGGTCGTGCCGAACTGAGTCTGGTTCTTTCAAGGTTTTTTTTCTTCACTCTCCTATTGGTGAAGTTTTTTTCCCTCTCCTCTATCGCCACTGGCTTGCATGGTTCGGGATCTGAAAAGCTACTCATCGATGAATTTGCTCTTCAGTGTTTGAACTCTCAGTAATGACTTCAAACCACACTGAACTGAGCTAAACTGAACTGAACTTAAACACTAAACACTGAACTACCCTGATCCAGTTACTATAACCATTTATGTGAAGCTGCTTTGACACAATCTACATTGTAAAAGCGCTATACAAATAAAGCTGAATTGAATTGAATTGAATACACTATCCTGTTGAGTGTGTAAGTGCATAAGTACATAGTGCATGAGTGCATAGTGTATAGTGTGCCATTTGGGAAGCAGCTATAGACTATAAAAATATAGACATAGTATCCATGACGTCACCCATAGGTTTCTGAAAAGTGCAAATGAAGCTACAAGTGGGCGTGGTCAATCATTGCCAATTTGTTCGAACATCATCGCACCGACCGTGGGTTACCAAAAAAGGGCAAAGAGGCGGAGATTGAGAACCACTGTCTTCTGCATCAGGTCAGGGTGCACATTTTTATGGGCAATACAATGTATTGAGGGTCAGTAGTGAAATATGCAATGGACATCACTTACAGTTATTGTAAGAGTTATTGTTATCACTTTGATCAGGTTATTGAATCCTTGCTAAATTAAAGTATTCAGTTCTTCTAACCTGTTAGCCAGCACCCAACTTATGGACACCTACTAGGACTGGACGATTTGGCGTAAAATCTAAATCTCGATTAATTGAACATTTTAAATCATTCATTCATTCATTTTCTTGTCAGCTTAGTCCCTTTATTAATCCGGGGTCGCCACAGCGGAATGAACCACCAACTTATCCAGCAAGTTTTTACGCAGTGGATGCCCTTCCAGCCGCAACCCATCTCTGGGAAACATCCACACACACATTCACACACACACTCATACACTACGGACAATTTAGCCTACCCAATTCACCTGTACTGCATGTCTTTGGACTGTGGAGGAAACCGGAGCACCTGGAGGAAACCCACGCGAAGGCAGGGAGAACATGCAAACTCCACACAGAAACACCAACTGAGCCGAGGTTCGAACCAGTGACCCAGCGACCTTCTTGCTGTGAGGCGACAGCACTACCTACTGCGCCACTGCCTCGCCCATTTTAACTCAATTAGGATTAGTGAACAATTTTTTTTTATATATTTAATTTTTATTAAATATTTTTTTAAGATATAACTTAAATTATATTATTATATTTATTGAATCTTCTGTAAACAAATAACTGGAGCACCTGGAGGAAACCCACACCAACACGGGGAGAACATGCTAGTAGCAAGGGGCCAGTACTTACCACTGAGCCACCGTCCGATTTAAGATTTCTGCAAAAAGTTTCTTGCGACTATATGTCCTTCTCTCCCTCTTTCACTGTACCGGTGTCACTTCTCAAAAATGACCTTCCTAAACTAAAACAGTAACAGTTGCTAAATAATTTGTTCTACATTCACAGTTAATTTATCTTTGAAAGGAAGGGCTTGCGATCCATCATTTAAAGTTTATAATGCTCAAAACAAAAAAGGCATAGATGCTTAATTCATAGATCTGTGTGGAGTTTGCATGTTCTCTCTGTGATCACTTGGGTTTCCTCCAGGTGCTCCGGTTTCCCCCACAGTCCAAACACATGCGCTATAGGTGAATTCTTTCATTCAATTATTTTTTCCCCGGCTTAGTCCTCTTATTTATCAGGGGTCGCTACAGCAAAATAAACCGCCAACTTATCCAGCATATGTTTTACAAAGTGGATGCACTTCCAGTTGCTACCCATCACTGGAAAACACCCATACACTCCCATTCACACACAAACACTACTGTTTAGGTGAATTGGGTGAACAAAAAATTGCCCATTGTGTATGAATGCGAGAGTGTATGTGTGTTTCCCAGTCCTGGTTTGCAGCTGGAAGGGCATCGGCTGCATAAAACGTACACTAGAATTATTGGCGGCAGAGGAGCAAAAAGGGGCTATGCACTACATGCAGCGCATAGAGGCGTCACACATGGAGGGCCACACAAACATTAAATAAATATTAATGTTTATTTTGCATTTTATAGGAGTATAATATTGTACTTTATTAAATTAAAAAAAATCATACCACCCCTTCCCCTCCGTCAATCATTTGATTGACCATTTGATGAACATTTCTTAGAACTCACACATAAATAAATAGTCAGAATGTTCGAATTTTTTAAAAAACTGAAATGTTAATTAATCCTTCTATCAAGATCCATTTTATACCATATACATGTTTTTATAAATGTATTATGTATTATATTGAAACATCAGGCCTTTTGGTATTTATTTATTTATTTTTATTTATTTTTTATTTTTTTGGTAATTTTTTTTTAATTTTAGTTCCAAAAAAGTTTGGCCATAAAATTTTTTTAATAAAATTTTACATTTCAGGCAGTTGGTTTCTGCTTATTTTTTACACTAATCATTTTACATTTTTTTATTTCACTATTTGAGAGGTATAATAGCAGTTTCGGTCAATTGTTCATGCAAAAACAGACCTTACACCTCTCACAGTAAGCATGTGAGAAGTGATTGAATTTTCAAGTTCTTTTTCTCTTTAGGACTCCCATATCTATCATTTTGTGTTAACAAATGTTGTCCAAAAAGTACAAAAACAAGGCATGTCAAGGTGCTATAATCATTTAGTGGGGAAAATGAAATTGAGAAGAAATTTGGGGTGGGACAAGATGTACGTCTTTGTCACTTAACATGCTTAGTGTAATTATACATTTACTACTTAATATTATTTCGGTTGTGTTTAGAACTGTGAAAGGTATTTGTTTGAAGCACATTAAAAAATATCCTCAATTTGTTGATGGAAATACTTTGGGGGCAAAACTTGATCCCGCACAGTAAATTTGCAGTTGCACCCCTGATTGACGGTTCATTCTCCAATGATAAAAAAAGGGTCTATGCTGAATGAAAATAAATGGAAATAATGCTAAAAAATATTTGGTTGACAAAAAAGACAGTGTAATTCATAAATCTACGGAAGGAAGGGGAATCTTGCGCAAGTCAGTCATATTTGATTCTGGGATTTGTGTGGGCCACGGCAAATCCCTTTTGTAGACTCCAGAACATTTAGGCAGCTAGACTCCCTGCGTATTGTTTGTGGAACCGCACAATGAATCAGTCGCCGTTTCTCTCCACGCCCAGGAGAACCGCTCTAGCTGGCCTGCTCAGACATGCGCTTGAACTTTGAAAAGAGGAATGAAATTTAAGGAGAGCGCACCAGCGTGTAGTTAACACTCTCAAAGGCTCCACACCTGAATGAACAGCGCTCAATTTCAGCAAGTGAGCGCATGCACGGGGAACAAAAGGTTTGAGGTTTTGTAAGAATGCAAACCAAATGTAAATTAATGAAGAGCGGGCTGCATTTCCAAAAAAACAAAATTAATCCTAAAATGCAGGGGTGGGTCTGCTGAAATTGAAAGTTTGGTCAATTTGCTGAAAACTGATAACTGCAGCCATTGTATGGTGGATTTGTAAAGCACTCCTTAACACACACACACTTACACTAAAGCAATATGTTTGTCCCCAGGATTCAAGCTGAAGGACTTCCTGCATGAAGACGAGACCCTCTCTACCTTCCTCCTACAAAACGCCTCATTTACAGAGAATTATGTTACGAATATTCTGGACGCTGATGTGAATCTTGAAAAGGTGAGAAAGGAAATGCACCGTATGGAAACATTAATGGTGCCTATGAGAGTTGATTTGCATAAACGTGCTTGTGTTTCCCCTAACAAACTTTAGGAAGGTGACAGAATGTTGGAAATATGGATTTATAGCCATAGACAGGGTTTCTGCAGGTCACATTTAAGACTTTTCAAGACCTTTTTAGGACTATTATGAATTAAATTTTGTAAAGGGCAGATGATTTTTTTTACTTGACCCAGTCAAATTTAAATTCAGTTATTTTTTAGCCGAACATTTTAAATAACGTGTCGAAACAAGCAAACTCTAGATGTATACATGTATACACTCACCGGCCACTTTATTAGGTACACCTACTACTAGTACCGGGTTGGTCCCCCTTTTGACTTCAGAACTGCCTTAATCCTTTTTGATCGGATGTGCACAAAAATGTTGTCCTGATTTGTTCTGACAGCCTAAACAAAGCTTTAAAGTTCCCCTAAGCCCCAATTCAACTCTCAAACAAAGACCCAAACCTCACATTTAGGCCGTACTCACACTAGGTACAGTTGCCTCGAACCTGGCCAAAGCACGCTTGACCCCCTCCCGTCTCCCCCGACGGCCCGCGCTCACACCATATCGGGCCTCGGCACGCTTACGTCATCGCTGCTGCTCTCTTCAGTGAGAAGCGCTCTCTATGGCAAGCCTTTTTAGCATTTAAATCTTTGTTCTGACTCCATAAATATATTTAGAGATATCTCTAATTATATTTTGACTAGTCATAACTATAATTCCACTACTCAGAATGACAATTAGAGATATCTGCAATTACAATTGTACTAGTACGAAATCAGATTGGAGATATCTGCAAATATATTATGACTAGTCATATTCCTCCATTGACTTCCATTGAAAAATATTTGCAGATATCTGTAAATGAGTTTTGATTAGTCACAATTGTAATTAGAGATATCTCTAACTGAGTTTTTACTAGTCATAATACATTTGGAGATATCTTTAATTCGTCATATTTAGATATATTTACAAATATATTTGAAGATATCTCTAATTAATTTACTAATAGTCGAATTACAGTTGTAGATATCTTAAATTGGATTTTTGACTAGTCAAAATTCATTTGGAGATATCTCTAATTACAATTGTGACTAATCAAAACTCATTTACAGATATCTGCAAATATTTTTCAATGGAAGTCAATGGAGGAATATGACTAGTCAGTCATAATATATTTGCAGATATCTCCAATCTGACTAGTCGAATTATAATTATGGCTAGTCAAAATATAATTAGAGATCTCTCTAAATATATTTATGGATAGTCAGAACAAGGTTTAAATGCTAAAACGGCTTGCCATACGCTGTCACCCAGTAGCACAGTGGAGATTTCTCTAGTTATATCGTTTCAGTCGTTTGTTATGCAGTGACATGCAGTCAAATATTTCGCCGGACAGATCCGCCACTTTTGGCGCTCATAAACAATCATAAAGCTCTGGTGCTGCAGGAATGAGGAGGTCTGCTGAAGGCGCGCAGCTGGCGTGCTGTGAGGAGTTTGCGTCTTTAATAAACTACGGCAGTTTGCGATCACTGAACAGTAAGAATGATTAATAAATCCATATGAAACAACCCCTCAAAAGTCACGTATTGCTTTCAGTTTCGGGCTTTGGCGCGTTTTGCACTCACACACAAGTGTACCGTGCCAAAGCCCAAGTGATCCGCGATCAGGCACACCTCTTCCAACCGGGCCAGGGCCGGCCAAGTGAACCATGCTTGAGCCCGATTCAGCGCACTCACACTTCTCAAACGATCCGGGAAACGGGCCTGGGCACGGTACGGATGGCATAGTGTGAGTAGGCCCTTACAGTAATTACAGTACATACACCATTTGTCGGTTGGCTTTGATAGTTCGCCCCCACACATGCTGCTAAATTACCCCTAGGAATTAAAGTTAAAGAGAAGAAAGCAGCATGCATCTCAACTTTTGTTTGTGCATCAACAGCTGTTAGCTGTGTGATGTGCCCTTAGGCCGTTACACAATCTACAGCCCATAGGCAGCCTAGTTTTACCTTAATGTACCTCACAATGTGTATTCAGGGCATCCAGCCTAAGTGGCTCTCCAGATAATGAACTCATGGGTCATGTGAATAGCTCAGTCCTTCAGTCTCCAAAAAGCCTTTGTGAACACCTAGTTATCTGCTCTTACTGCTTAACCATGCTTATCACCGGTGCTCCCGCAGGTGCTGATCAAAGGTTTTGGCGTCCATCTCAGAGACATGTGCAGCTCAATCAAACTTGAGGATTTTGTGACCATCCCGGACACAAGTGTGGCCAGATTCACTCAGGACATGATCTGCAGGTCTCCCAAAAACTGGCTGGACCAGGCCGAGAGTCACTTCAAGTCCAATCTGGATTTCCTCAAACCTGTCAGGGTAAGAGAGATGGCACAGCGAATCACAACAGATAGATTTGATATGTGTGTTTAAATAACAAAACTATTTCATAGTGTTATTGTTAAAAATATATAGATGGACCAATCATTATCATATTATTCATTAAATAAGCTGTATCAGTACATTGATATTAATAAACAAATTGATGTTACGGGGCAGCACAGTGGTGCAGTGGGTAGCACAATCACCTCACAGCAAGAAGATCACTGGTTCGAGCCCTAGCTGGGCCAGTTGGCATTTCTGTGTGGAGTTTGCATGTTCTCCTCGCGTTCACGTGGGTTTCCTCCGGGTGCTCCGGTTTCCCCTACAAGTTCAAAAACATGTGGTACAGGTGAATTGGGTGAGCTAAATTACCTTTAGTGTGTGAATGAGAGTGTATGGATGTTTCCCAGTGGTTGGTTGTAGCTGAAAGGGCATCCACTGCTTAAAACGTATGCTGGATAAGTTGGCGGTTCATTCCGCTGTGACGACCCCAGATTTATAAAGGGACTAAGCGGAAAAAAATTAAATAATGAAATTGATGTTACCTATATATAGTATATCGAAAGTATCATAAAGCTGAATAAATGTACCAATGTCATATATTTCACATAAGTAAAATGAAAAGTAAATATTATATTATTATGTAACAATAATAATAGATTCAGGCCTAATTAAGTTGAAGAAGATTATTATTTTAGTATGACATTAAATAATTACAATACTTTTCACACTGCATATTGTATTAGCATCAATTTAATTATTAACATTTATTGCGCTTTTATACTTATAATACACAACATTGCATTGAGAAATATGGGGTTAAAAAGTAGAATAAAAAGAATATCAAACCACAGTTGGGTTACAACATGCCAGCATTTGTAGAGTATAAAAAAGTATAAAAACTAAATAAATAAAATCCATTAAAAATTTTTTATAAAAATTAAATAAAATTTAATAAATACATATATAAATAAAAATATAAAAATCAAAAACTTTTTTTAAGTGATGTTTGTTTAAAGGTGCAGTCGGTGATCTGCCTAAATGCTATTCGTTAGCATGATATCTTTGAAACATATCTCCCTCCCCTGCCATCCAAAGCCACACCTCCTGAAATCACGAACGCACACCATAAAGATGACAGCAGACAACTCACTAGAAGATCATGTCATTTGCCAGTTAGAAAACTTTAAGCACCTATAATACCACAATTCCGAATGAAAAACTATATTATATCTAGCACGTTTTCAGTTGTGTAGCAAGCAAAACTAGTCATAATGTGCAATATGACACGCATGCAAGGATCGCTGGTCTCACCCTCTCACGCGCTTTGTCCTAAAGTGACTACTCTATGCTTAGTGGTTAGCCGGTAGGGTGCAGGAATTACACTTACTAAGCCATACGTACATGCTATTCCAGACTAAACAATCAAAGTAACATGATAAACAATATAGGGAGGCTATACAGGCTGTCATTGTTCAAAAATGAAACAATGTGAATATAAAACCAGCTTCACCTCAGTAAAGCAGGCTAGGCGAAATAGCGCTATTTACTGATGTTTTGTTGTTAAACTAAATAAAAATCTACATTTTCGATGCTGTAAAAGTTCCCTTATGAAACTGAAAATAGTCGTATCAATCTATCGCCAGATTTCAGTGGCTGCACAACACCTCTGTGCATATAACCCATTCATAACAAAACACAATCTACAACAGCCTGACTAAAATAGTTTTAAAACAGAACATTACTTGTCTAAAAGATTTATTTTTACTCACAATATTTTTTTTTAGGTGACACAAATTATATACTTATCATACTTTTAGTATTAACAAATTGTAATAACCCTGGAATATATCAAATATGTTTTAAAATGTACAGTTGAAATCAAAATTATTAGATGCAAAAATATTAAAGGGGCTATTCTGCAAAAAAAAAAAAGGCTTTTGTAAGTCGTTTAATCACAGTTGTGTGGCAACAGTGTGTGAATACAGACAACATCTAATGGTAAAAAAAATATCTAAGTCTATGCTCTCTCCCTCATTAGCACAAACAGCCCTGAATGAGAAGCAGCTGTCCGCCATTAGCGTTTTTAAATCTTTTTAATATGCCACTATGCTGATGCACAGGCACTTCTAGCTCCGCCCTCATTTAAAATAAGCACAATCTCATTTGAATTTAAAGCGACAGTCACTAAAACGGCACAATTTGGGTCAAAGAATAAAAGGATATTTTGAGCTAAAACTTCACAAACACAGGGACATCAGAGACTTAATATTACATCTTGTAAAAAGGTGACCTCAATTTTGACTTCAACAGTATATCTCCCTTCAAAATCTCACCAAGCCTTTTTAGGGTGTCCAGATTGTCCAAGTGATTTACTGTCAATCTAAAGACCTACAGAAATGCATTGGAGACTCCAGATGGACTGTCTTTATTGTCAGCACAGGGTGTAAATAAAAGTGTGTGTGTGATTGTGACAGAGGGCATCATCTTATCTCCTGCGGCCCCTGATAACAACAGCGAGGCAAACAAAAGCAGCTGACTTGAACATTGACGTGACACAAACAGCATCTCAAAGAGAGAGAAAGAAAGAGAAAGGAGTAGTTGTCATGCTATGAGGAGTGTGGGAGGATGCATGTTTTAGCCCGTTGCTCTACACACCTACATTAATACATAGCCTGAAGACACCGCTGGATGTTACAACACCAAACGACAGCCTCAGTTCCTGTTCTGCAAAACATTCGGTTGACTCATCGATCACGCTGGTCAATAAAAGCTGATTTTGGCGCAGTGTTGAAATGCATTGGAAGTAGAATAGCAGACAGATGTGGATAAATGGGTCATGGGTCATAGATAGAGAGAACGAAGGTACAGTAGAATGTAAGGAATGGCCTTGCGTAACGTTTATGGTTTCTCGATGATTTACAGACATGCAAATTCGAAAGCGCGCTCAACGAGTCAGCACTTTTATGAGCCACTAGATTTGACTGATACACAATACTGTAAATGACCTCAGTTCAGTCTTACCCAGGGGTACTTTAGTTTAGTTTACTGATACCATAAAACTAAAACCGTTGTTTATTATTGATTTTCTAAATAAGCTGTAAATAAAAATGGGGCGGCACGGTGGTTCAGTGGTTAGCACTGTCACCTTACAGCAAAAAGGTCTCTGGTTCGAGTCATAAAATCAGATGTAAAATCAGTTTAAACTATATATGGACGTATTATTGTGTTACTTTACTAAAAATTGTTGTTAATTAAAAACATATATTTTACAAATGTAATTTTACTTTAATCACTAAAACCAACTAAATTTAAAATGAAAAAAGGTACCCATGAAGATGAATTCAAACTATTATTATAATTTAAAACACAAAGTTGATGCTAAGATAACATTATATACACACGTAACATCACATTTATAATGTAACTATTCTTACTAATGTGCAAAATACTTGTACATTTCTACATAATATACTGTACTATACAATATATATATATATATATATAGTTGAAGTCAGAATTATTAGCCCCCTTTGATTTTTTTTTCTTTTTTAAATATTTTCCAAATGATGTTTAACAGAGCAAGGACATTTTCACAGTATGTCTGATAATATTTTGTCTTCTGAAGAAGTCTTACTTGTTTTATTTCGGCTACAATAAAAGCAGTTTTAAAAAAAAAAACATTTTTGGGACAAAATTATAAGCCCCTTTAAGCTAATTTTTGTTTCAATAGTCTACATAACAAACTATCATTAAACAATAACTTGCCTAATTATCCTAACCTGCCTAGTTAACCCAATTAACCTAGTTAAGCCTATACAGTTGAAGTCAGAATTATTAGCCCCCTTTTGATTTTTATATTCTCTTTTTAAATATTTCCCAAATGATGTTTAATAGAGCAAGGACATTTTCACAGTATGTCTGATAATATTTTTTCTTCTGGAGAAAGTCTTATTTGTTTTATTTCGGCTAAAATAAAAGCAGTTATAAATTTTTTGAAAACCATTTTTGGGACACAATTATTAGCCCCTTTAAGCTAATTTTTTTTTTTTTTGATAATCTACAGAACAAACCATCATTATACAATAACTTGCCTAATTACCCTAACCTGCCTAGTTAACCTAATTAACCTAGTTAAGACTTTAAATGTCACTTTAAGCTGTATAGAAGTGTCTTGAAAAATATCTAGTAAAATATTATTTACTGTCATCATGGCAAAGATAAAATAAATCAGTTATTAGAAATAAGTTTTTAAAACTATTATGCTTAGAAATGTGCTGAAACAATCTTTCCAGAACAGAACAGAAATTGGGGAAAAAAATAAACAGGGGCGCTAATAATTCATGGGGGCTAAAAATTATAATAACAATAATAATAATATTAATAATAATAACAGTTCTGTCTGGTTCTTGAATCTGATTGGCTGATAGCCGTGATATGTTTAAGTAATATCAGCACCCATACAGCCTCTTTACCCTTTGTGTATTACTCTGCCCACATACAGCCAGCAAAAAGCAGACACTACAGATCTAAAGTTTAAAAGATGCTTGCTCAGCTGTTTAACTGTCAGCTTAAGATTTGAATCCAAAGCGGAAGAAAGTAGTTCCTCATACAAATGGGTTTTTGAGACTCTCCATGTTTGATTTTGTTTTTCTACACACAATTATGCCGTCAAACTGTTGTATAAACGCAATATCACACTCTCGTAGTAGTGCGATATGGCTGTCTGCGGCCTCGTGCCAATGCACGCCTCCCACCAGTGCTGATATACAGCCATATCGCACTGCTACGAGTGTGATATCCGCTTGTTAAGTGGTGACGTGTTTGTGACGTATGTATACTGTTTCCGGGTCCAAGCCGCCATTCATTTGAGTGGAGAAATCATTCGTTTATGATCACGTTTTATTCCTATCACACATTAAAGTTAATTTTATATAAAATCATGGTGTACACAACAATCTCTGGGCTTGCTGCATAACAAATACCAAAGTTTTAACAGTTCATAAAAAAGGTATCACTTTCTGGCCATCGGATATTAGGCATGGATATATATACTGCGATCGTGATTTTCGAAAGCCTTAAATCGCTTTGTAAACGTTTATTATTACCATTTCATGAGTCTCCCCATTCAGTTCAATAGAGCGATTGGACCCGGAAGCCGCTTCGCGTGACGTCACACTCAACAAGCGGATTGCTCATATATATATATATATATATATATATATATATATGCACTATTAATAAAAATATTAATAAAATAAATGATGTTTTTTGTGTGTTTTACTTTATTTCTCGGTTTGTTGATACCTTGTAAATGTACAAATGTAAAATAATAAATATATGAAATGTTTTTCAATCAATGATTTTTTTTCCTCCTATTTGCTCTTTTACAGTCAGAAATAAGGACTAATGCCACTGATGTCCGTAAAGTTACCAAAGCCACAGACAACCTTCTGGAGAGCCTGGGATCACTTGCTGTGGAGGTAAACCTCATGTTATTCACATTAGCATTAGCATAGCATAGCTTATAAGATAAGATAAAACAAACCTTTCCACCTGTGTGAACCATCAAACAACTTCATGCAAGAGTTTTCAATTGTAAATGATACTCTGTAAAGCTCTAAATCATCTGAGGAGAGAGAGTGATTGGTGTGGACAGTGAAGGCGTCATATTGGGCCTGCATGTGTCGATGGGTTCGGTAGTGTCTGATTTGCCAGCTGTAGAGTTGCTCGGCGGGAGGAAGGGAAAGTTGTTTCAGCTCCCAGCTGGACAGATATACAACCAAGCACAGCTGAACAAGCATCCAGACTGAGAGTCACACAATGAGCAAGTAAAGAGCGCAATAAAGACGTTTGCTTTACACAGGGAGATGGGTGTTCGTGACCTGTTTGCCCACACAAAAGCCTCTCTGTTTTCTGCTCAACTGAGAGGGAATACCTTTGGCTACGAGTCTCGTTGAATGGAGCATTGAACTAGATTTCTGGCTCACCTTCGTGTTCGAAACGTATGGTGGATTCCTGTCTCTTTTTACTGTGTTGGTGTGAGACTGGATGAATGCTGATTCGGCATCTGTAAAAAATGAAAGCAAAATAAGATTATTTGTATTTAGTGCCTTATTATATTTAGCTTTGAAATAAAACAATAAAATTTTCACCTGCAAAACTAAACTTAATAATAATAATTAAATTAAAATGTAATATTTTGAGCATCTTTACCCCAGTTTTAAGCTTTATTGGTCCTAAATATAAATTAATGGTCCTTTTATTATATTACTAAATTTCTGGAGCTTTTACTTGATTTAAATGTAACAACAATCAGTTGAATTATTTCATAATATTAATAAAAATAATAATACTAATTTTACCATTTTTATTTAATAATTTTTTTAATTAACTGTAAAATGATTTAATGAAATTAATAATAATTTATTGATTTATCAATTAAATTGTAATAAATTGATAATAATAATCTTATGCTATTTTATGTATTTAATTTGTAATAAAATGCATAATAATTTAATGAAATTAATAAAAAAATATTTATTTAATTATAGCAAATTGATAATAATAATCTTATCATTATTTAATTATTTTTTATAAAATGTATAATATTAATTAATAATCATTTATTAATTTTATAATTACATTTTAATAAAATGAACAATAATCTTTTAATTTTTATTTTATTCATTTTTAATACCTTACCCCAAATCTTGGTAGTGAATCAGTTTCCAAATTATTAATAATAAAAAACAGATATATAAATGTAAGCATAATAATAATAATAATAATAATAATAATAATAAACCCAAATATATAAATTTAAACATTCATTTTAATAACAATAATAATAATAATAATAATAATAGGATAAACAGAAATATAAATGTAAACATGATAATAATAATAATAACAATAATAAAAACAGAAATATAAATTTAATAATAATAATAATAATAGTAATAAACTAAAATATAAGGTTTATAATAATAATAATAATAATAATAATAATTACTATTATTATAAATTATTGAACATTAAATTGGAGTTATCAAAGTTTTCAAAACTTTTTTTTGGCTCTTCTATTTATTTCTAAAACGAGACAGATTTGCCAACAAACAATACAACAAAATTTTTACATAATTAAAAATAAATAAATTTTTTCATTTATTTTTCATGCAGTCTGACTTTGCTAAACTTGCTGGCAGACGTTTTTTCCTGTGCGGCTTTGTTTTAGATGGGACATGAGGGGGCTTTATGTCTTGATTTCTTGATCTCTCCCCCTTTGTGAGATTATTTTGGTTTTGCCGTAGGACATCTGTTGCTTTCTCCGCCCTCCATTCTCTTTGGACTTTTACACAAAATGAGCAGCACGTGACTTTTTCTGCTTGCTGAGTCAGATCCGTAAGACTCACGCGGCTTCATCCTGCAGAGCTGAATGCCGTTCACCACACCTGCATCAGAATGAAGGACTGGGACAAACAATCCTCTGCTTAGAAGATAACTTTAAAACTAGCATATAAAGGGCATTTTACATACTTTTAACTTTCATATATATATGACTTATGCTAGAGCTACACGATTCTACTTCACTTTACTTGAGATTCTTAAATTACTTACCGGTTCACATAAATGACTAACTGCTTGCTTCATTACTGGATGAGTCAGTGTTTTTAGACTGAATCTCTTACATAAATGATTCAGTGACATAAAGACTTCACTTGCTTCAAAACTGGATGAATGAGAATTTTTTAGCAAATATTTTAAACTAATGATTTAATGACTAAATATGAACTTGCTTTACTAATGAATCAGCATTCTTGAGTGAATATTTTAAATAAACAATTTAATGACTCACTTGTAAAGATTCACTTGTTTCGTGCTGGATGAATCAGCATTTTTGAGTAAATATTTTGAAGGAACACTTTAATGACTCATTTAAAAAGATGAACCAGTTTTGTACTGGATGAATCAACATTTTTGAGTGAATATTTTGAATAAATTATGTAATGACTCATTTGTGAAAAATAAATTGTTTCGTACTGGATGAAGCAAAATTTTTGAGTGAATATTTTAAATGAATGATTTATTGACTCACTCGTAAAGATTCTTTTGTTTCGTACTGGATGAATCAGCATTTTTGAGTGAATATTTTGAGTGAATGATTCAATGACTCATGAAGATTAAATTGTTTCGTACTGGATGAACCAACATTTATGAGTGGATATTTTGAATGAACGATTACAACTCATTTGAAGATTAATTTGTTTTGTACTGCATGAATCAGCAGTTTTGAGTGAATATTTTGAATGAATGATTTAATGACTCGTTCGTAAAGTGTCTCTTGTTTCGTTCTGGATGAATCAGCATTTTTGAGTGAATATTTTGAGTGAATGATTTAATGACTCACTTTTAAAGATGAGCTTGTTTGGTACTGGATGAATCAACATTTTTGAGTTAATATATTGAAGAAAGGATTCAATGACTCACTTGTAAAGATGAACTTGTTTTCTACTGGATGAACCAGCATTTTGGAGTGAATATTTTGAATGAACGATTTAATGACTCACTTGTAAAGATGAACTTGTTTCGAACTGGATAAATCAACATTTTCCAGTGAATATTTAAAGAAAGGATTTAATGACTCACTTGTAAAGATTGAGTTGTTTCCTACTGGATGAACCAGCATTTTTAGTGAATATTTTTAATGAACTATTTAATGACTCACTCGTAAGGATTAACGTTTTTCATACAATGTCAGAAATAAAGGTACAGGAGCTGTCACTGCGATAGTACCTTTTCAAAAGATACATATTTGTACTCAAAGAGTCCACAGTGGTATCTCAATGGTGCATATTAGTGACCACATGTACCTAAAAAGTACCTTTGAGGTACTATTATGGACCCGTCAGGTACAAATATGTACATTTTGAAAAGGTAGCACTCCAGTGACAGCTCTTGTATCTTTATTTCTGAGAGTTTACTAGATGAATCAGCATTTTTGACTCAATCTCTTGAAGGAATGATTCAATGACTCAGTCATATAACCTTGACTTGCTTCATTGCTGAATAACTGATTGTTTTTGAATCTCTCAAAAGATTGATTTGGTGACTTACTTATATATACTTTATTTGCTTGATCACTGTATAAATCTATTTTTAAAGGCTTTGCTTGGCTTATTAATGAATGAATCAGTAATTTCAGACAAACTTCTTGAATTAGAAATAAGCGACACACTTTAATAGGCTTACTCGATTACAGGATGAATCTGCTTTTTCTGACAAAACTCTCCAATGCTTGATTCAGTGACTCAATCATAAAGGCTTGCTTTAGTACTGGATGAATCTGTCTCTTGAACAAATGATCCAATGATTGACTCATAAAGACTTCACTTGACTTATTACTGGATGAATCAGCGTTTTTGGACAAATCTCTTGAATTAATTATTTAGTTAATCACTCATAGGCTTCACTTGGTTAATTACTGGATATATCAGCAGAGCAGAGATCAAGATCCCAAAATTCATCTCAAAAGCATAAATAAACAAAGAACCCAAGAACCATATTGTATAGGAAATTGTTAATTAGCCTCCTATGTAGAGTGTGAGGTTTAGATCTTAAAAGTTATATTATATGTAAACCTATTAACGTTTTGTTCCTTAGGTCTTAATACATTGTTTTCTTCGGACATTTAGATTTGTTTAAATCTGAAATGTTATGACCAGCACAGGATAACAGTTCTTCTGCCATCAGTGAACCTCAAATGTTCCAGCTAAGAAATGTATTCAGAGAAAAACTCCTATGTTATGTTTGACAAAATCCTTTGTGCACTGAAAACGGAGAAGTAGCTTTTCATGGGAGGGTTTGTTTGTCTAAAGCGAGTTGTGCTCATGTTTGACAGGCCCTAAGGGCACCTGCTCCCTGGATTGTTGGTTAAAAAGCCCAAACATGACTTAGACAATGACAGTAGCTGTCAAGGATTAGGAAAATACAACCTGCACTGGAGCCAATAATGAAACACTAACGTTATCCCATGTAACGGTTGTCAGATTTCTCTTTGATGCACTATTAAACTGTAATGTAATGTAATGTAATGTATTGTGTATTTATATAGCGCATTTATTGTGTATGGCCGTACACCCAAAGCGCTTCACAATCATGAGGGGGGGTCTCTCCACACCACCACTAGTGTGCAGCATCCACTTGGATGATGCGACGGCTGCCACAGGACAACGGCGCCAGTGCGCTCACCACACACCAGCTATAAGAGACAGTTTTAGAGCCAATTCGGCGGATGGGGATGATTGGGAGGCCATGATCGTAAGGGCCGATTGAGGGACTTTGGCCAGGACACCGCAGTCCAGTGCAGTTCTCCTGAAATTATGTGTTCGGCATGTTATTCAAAACCAATATTGCTCTTTCATCTGTGAAACACAAAAGAAGTCATGCTTTCACTTCTTTTCAATTATAACAAATAGTAACTGGAGCCTTCATGCTTCAAAAAGAACACAAAAGCTACCTGATAGTGGTCTAAATCACTTGTGCACTACAGTATTCCATTGAAGCCTATAGATTCTGTTTAGCTAACCAATCAAAATCTCTTTTAACTTCTTGTGTGTCTATATATCAGTATTCTTAGCTCTGATTAAAATGGTACCCACTTCCATTCTTTCAGCTGGCCAGTATGAGGAGTTGGAGTGACCTGCGAAACGAGATCCTGTTTCTGACCGAAAATGCCACTGGCTCCCCAAGTCTGATGTACCAGGCTGTGTCCCGTATCGTGTGTGGACACCCTGAAGGCGGTGGCCTCAAGATCAAATCCCTCAACTGGTACGAAGACAGCAACTTCCAGGCGCTGTTTGGCAACCACAACGACAGCGATGACCAACCGGTTCCAGTCTACGACAACACAACCAGTATGTCAAGCATATAAAAGTGTTTATTATTATTTAAATTATTATTATTATTATTATTATTATTATTATTATTATTATTATTATTATTATTATCTATTAATATTTAAAAGTTTTGTTTTTAAGTTTAAGCATTTTATTTAATATTTTTATAATATCATTCTAATCCTTTTCTCATCTCCTAAACAAAAGAGAGATTACTGTCTCTCTACTGAAAAACAACTCGTTTAAAAGTATTGACAAAATGTTGATTGGTGAGTATAAACAGAAGCTTTTAGGCTCATAGAACTATTGGTGGAAGTACCAGCATTTCAGCATCTTCATAACACAGGAATTACAAATTATTTTGGTTATAGGAACACCTTATGTGGGAACTAAATTAGCACAAAATGTTTTGTTTTTTCAAAGTCTACCTACATGCCTTAATATGTTACTGATGAGTATTATTTGTGAATAAAGGCTTACATGTTTAGTCAAGTGATTTAAATCTTGGACTTGTTATTATGAGTTATTATGTTATTATTATTAAAATATCTTAATTGGTGTTAAAAAGAGTAAACATTTAAAAGGACAGTTCACCCAGAATTAAGATTACTTTATCATTCAGTACGTTTACATGGACACCAATAATTTGATTTTATTGTGATTTAGACAATACTCTGATTAATATTCTACCATGTAAACAGCGATTTCTGATTAATTTAATTAGATTAAGGTCATAATCAAAATAAAGAGAAATCGAATTAAGAGTATGCCGATTTTAGTCGCATTATTGAAGTGCATTACAGACATGTAAACACCTTAACCGAACTATCACGGTTATGTAGGACTTTTTCGCCGCGTTTTTGCGACAGGATAGTCCACACACCCACACACACACACATACTGAGACCACCTACCGAGACCACAGACACCTGCATCGTGAAATGCGGAGGTTTTTTCTTCCTTTCAGCATGCAGCATGAACTTCCATTAAAACAACACTCTTCCTGCAGTTCATAGTTGCATCCAATATCTCGTTTGTCATAGGGGCATGCATGAAATGTTCCCGAATGAAAGTGAAAGTGCAAACTGCAGTTAAATTCGAGAAATTAAAAATGAAACACCTGAAATTAATGAAACTCCAGAGGAAATGTGGATAACGTGGTGACGCGATGACGTTAATTATGTGCTAATAACATGTAAAATGGGATCATGAAAGCAACATTCATAAAGCAACTCATGTAAACGCCTTCATCTTATTATTGTCTTAATTAGATTTAGGCAAATAATTTGATTCCTGATGTCCACGTAAACGTAGTCACTTATTCTCCCTCATGTGGTTTTAAACATTCATGAGATTCTTTATTCCGTTTAACATAAAAGAAGATATTTTGAAGAATGCTAGTTGAAGGCACCTATCAACTTCCATAGTAGGAAAAAGATTTGGAACTCAACAAGTGCCAGGTACTAGCATTTATTTTTTAAATATCTTCTTCTGTGTTCAACAGAAGAGGAAAAACCCAATAACGTCTGAAAACGTTAGGTGCGCCACACTTTTGCGCCAATTTGTTGGCTTTGGATAAGAGCAGCTTGCTGTGCTTTTTATGTCGCTAGGCAACTACTGTATTTATGGACTTTGTGCTGGAGCGTATGACATTGGGCACTTATTCCGCACAGAGTGATTACTTTTTTCACCTGCAGGTGTTGTTTTCAACTGCAAGTACTCCATAAAATGCACTCAGGGCACATAAACAGCGCAAAAAAGCATGCTGCCACTAGAAACCTTTTGAAAAAGCCACCTCTCAACAAAAAAAAATGATTTTGGTGTGATCAGGGCCTGAATGATGACAGAATTTTCACACATTTACCTGTAGTTTTATATCCTTGTTTCTAGCTCCATACTGTAACAGCATGATGAGGAACATGGAAGCCAGTCCCATCTCTCGAATGATCTGGAGAGCACTGAAACCTCTTCTTATGGGGAAGATTCTCTACACTCCACATAGCCCTGCAACACAGAAGATCATTCATGAGGTAACCACACTGAAAAACACAAATGCTGCGATTTGACAAAGCAGTTTGATTAACTTTCTCATTGATTCTCAGGTCAACAAGACATTTCAAGAGCTCGGAATTCTGCGAGATTTAGGAGGAATGTGGGAAGAAGCCAGACCGAAGGTTTGGAACTTCATGGAGAACAGCAATGAAATGGATCTAATGCGGGTTTGTCTTGTCTTCCTTTTATTATCTCCCCCATGTGGTTGGTGGCTGCATTGCAGGATGGGAACTGCTCAGTATTACTGATAATTCATTTTTATTTCTCTCTCTCCAAACGCAGACACTTCTACTCAACAACCTCACGGCTAATTTTTTTAGTGCCCAGTTGGCTGGGACTCAGTGGAGCGTAGAGGATGTGATAAGCTTCTTGTCCAAGCACTCTGAAGACACGCGTCCCCAAGGAACAGCGTTCACATGGCGGGATGTCTTCAATGAGACCGACCAGGCCATTATGAGCATATCCCGTTTCATGGAGGTCTGAACAGCTCTCTTTCATACCATCATTTCTGTTCTCTTCTCCTCCCACGTGCTTTCTTTATATCTCATAATCCATCTGTCTCCCACATACATACTTTCGGATTAAACACAGCAACAAGCCATCATACATCACATAGCCCATGCATGTTACAACCAGCTGGATTTCACATTTTTCTGAAGTTTTTGGAGGGTCTAATTGACCAATATAATGTGTCTGTATGAGAAAAGGAGATGTGAAAGATAAAAAGGAAGTGAAAAACAGAAATTTATATAATCAATAGAGATCATTTTGAATCCATCTCCATATATATAACATGATCGGAGAAGACAAACAACACGCAATCACTTTTAAATTGGTCAAAAGTTCCCTTTTTCAATAGTGCAAGACCAAACCAAAGATTATAACAGGTCAAATAGATTATTTTAAGCCGGTTATTGATTAAATCGCACATTATAGTACATTTAAGGTCTAATTTGGTCACAGATTAAGTCACAAATGCTGACTTTTGTTTTTTAGTGTGTAAACCTGGATAAGCTTGAACCCGTGAGCACAGAGGAGAAACTGGTGAACGAGTCCATGAGCCTCCTGGATAACAGAAAGTTCTGGGCTGGGATTGTATTCTTAGATATACCATCTAACAGCTCTGAACTTCCACCCAACGTCAACTACAAGATCCGCATGGACATTGATAATGTGGAACGCACAAACAAGATTAAAGATGGGTAAGTCAGTGCTTTCTTCACTCAGTTGCACAATAATAAAAAGTTCCATTTTAAAGGAACTCTCTCATGGAACACTTTGGAAATAGGCTCATTTTACAAGTCCTCTAGAGTTAAAGTTGAGTTTTATTATTTTTTAATCCATTCAGCTGATCTCTGGGCCTGGCCGGAGCATTTTTAGCTTAGCTTAGCATAGATCATTGAATCGGATTAGACCATTAGCATTTCATTCAAAAATAATTTCCTTTTATAAAAACATTCTATTGAAAGTTTGACTTGTCTGTAGTTACATCGTATACAAAGACAGATTGAAAATGAAAGGTTGGTGTCTTTTAGGTTGATATGACTAGGAACTAGTCAATTCAGTCATTCTCTGGTTCTGGCAGGAGCATTTTTAGCTTAGCTGAGCAAAGATCATTGAATAGGATTAGACCATTAGCATCTCACTCAAAACAATTTTTTATTTAAAAACATTCTATTAAAAGTTTGACTTCTCTGTTACATCATATACTAAGACCAAAGGAAAATGAAAAGTTGCTGTCTTTTAGGTCGATATGACTAAGGACTAGTCCATTCAGCCAGTCTCTGGGTCTGGCAGGAGCATTTTTTGGCTTACCTTAGCATAGATCATTGAATCGGATTAGACTGTTAGCAATTCTTAAAAAAAAAAAAAAAAACATTCCTATCAAAAAAATCTATTAAAAGTTTGACTTCTCTGTTACATCGTATACAAAGACTAATGGAGTATGAAAAGTTGCTGTTGTTTAGGATGATATGACTAGGAACTAGTACATTCAGCCAATCTCTGGGTCCAGCAGGAGCATTTTTAGCTTAGCTTAGCATAGATCAGTGGTAGGGAACCTACGGCTCACTGGCCACATGTGGCTCTTTGACCAAAAATATGTGGCTCTCAAGCTGTCTCCCTTCAATAATATTTTACAGTTTAAAAAATTATAACCTACACTAGAAATCGTCACTAGCAATAGATTCCTATTGAAAATACAATTACAATTCCCTTTTTATTGTATTTTTTAAAGCAAAATTAATAAGAACTCAGTTTACAATACAAGGATGTTTTGAACTATGCGTGTGTGCGACTATGGTTCAATGGTAACCTTGCACACCTAAATTCAAGCAATGTTTGAGTAGTGATGGCAAAATGCTCAATGGCTCTTTAAAAAAATGCATTTGCCAAAAAAATCCGAAATGACTCTTAGCTGAAAAAAGGTTCCTGACCCCTGGCATAGATCATTGAATCAAATTAGACCATTAGCATCTCACTTTTCCTATAAAACTTTGACTCTTCTGTAGTTACATCGTATACAAAGACCGATGGAAAATGAAAAGTTGCTGTCTTTTGAGTCGATATGACTAGGAACTAGTCCATTCAGCCAATCTCTGGGCTTGGCAGGAGCATTTTTAGCTTACCTTAGCATAGATCATTGAATCGGATTAGACCATTAGCATCTCACTCCTTTTTTTTTCCTATTAAAAAAAATCAATTAAAAGTTTGACTCGTCTGTAGGTGCATCGTTTACTATGACCAAATGAAAATGAAAATTTGCTGTCTTTTAGGTCGATATGACTAGGAACTAGTCCATTCAGCCAATCTCTGGGTGCAGCAGGAGCACTTTTAGCTTAGCTTAGTATAGATCATTGAATCGGATTAGCATCTCACTCAAACTTCTTTCCTATTAAAAAAATTCTATTAAAAGCTTGACTCTTCTGTAGGTACTTCATATACAGACTGACGGAAAATGAAATGTTAATGACTTTCAGGTTAATATGACTAGGAACTATGCTCAGATTCCAGAATGATAAACAAGGAACTATGCTGCAATACTTTGACAACATTATGCAGGAGCTAAATTTGTCCCCAGATAGATAATTAGGTAATACCGCTAATAATATCATTGCGCCTGCTGCAGCCATGTTACAGCAGCAAAGTTCCTGCTTTATTTGGCTTAAAAAAAAAGGGGGAAAAAACTCTGTTGGTCTTCATACACAATGCAACTACAGAAGAGTCAAGCTTTAAACAGGAACATTATGTAATCTTTGACAAAAAAATTGGAGCAACATGCTAATGGTCTAATCTGATTCAATGATTTATGCTAAGCTAAGCTTGAAGTGCTCCTGTTAGACCCAAAGATCACTTAAATGGTTTCAAATATAGTAAAACTCAACTGTTTAACCTTTAGGTCACTTGTAAAATAAAGGCTATTTCCCTCAAAAATTGCAGTGTTGGAGATATATTCTACTGTATTCTTACCTTTCCAGGTATTGGGATCCAGGTCCCAGGGCTGATCCTTTTGAGGATTTGCGGTATATTTGGGGAGGATTTTCCTATCTTCAGGATGTGGTGGAGCACAGCATCATCAGAGCAGTTACTGGATCCAAAGAAAAAACTGGTGTTTACATCCAACAGATGCCTTATCCATGTTATGTAGATGATATGTAAGCATTCCACTGCAATTCACATAAATATAGATTAATTAAATTATACTAAATGATAGAGATGGTAATTAGATGCTTTACGCCAGCCAATCAATAGCAGAAGGAAGTATTAATATCAAATGTTCCTCTTCTCCTGCAGTTTTCTGCGCATTATGAGCCGCTCAATGCCACTGTTCATGACTCTGGCCTGGATGTACTCGGTGGCCATCATCATCAAAGGCGTCGTCTATGAGAAAGAGGCCCGGCTTAAGGAGACCATGAGGATTATGGGATTGGACAACGGGATCCTGTGGTTCAGCTGGTTTATTAGTAGCCTCATCCCTCTTCTCATTAGCGCAGGCTTGCTGGTTCTTCTGCTCAAGGTACTAAGAAAACATAAGCAGTTTATTTTCTGAGACACACACTTTTGCTTTAAATAAATAATCCTTTAGCGAGTTATTAGGAGAATATTTCCCAGTTTCATTTTGTTTACCTTAAAACGTTTTTTTCATTAAAATGAAACTACAATGTAAAATGTCTACAAAAATTATATTACATAATGTATACTAGTACATAAATAATATGGGATGGCACGGTGGCTTAGTGGTTAGCACTGTCACCTAATAGCAAGAAGGTTGCTGGTTTGAGTCCCGGCTGAGCCAGTTGGCATTTCTGTGTGGAGTTTGCATGTTCTCACCGTGTTGGCATGGGTTTCCTCTGGGTGCACCTGTTTCCCCCACTATCCAAAGAAATGCTGTACAGGTGACTTGAGTAAACTAAATTGTCCGTAGTGAATGTGTTAATGATTGTGTATGGATGCTTCCCCAATCTGGATTTCAGCTGGAAGGGCATCCACTGTGTAAAACATATGCTGGATAAGTTGGCAGTTCATTCCGCTGTGGCGACCCCTGATGAATAAAGAGACTTAGCTGAAGTAAAATGAACAAATGAATGAATATATAGAGATAAAACAAAAGCAGATAAAAATGACAGAAACTCAACTAAAACGTTATCCGAAAATAAAAAGATAATGAAATAAATGAATACTACATAATTAATAACCTATGCTGAACTTTAAATAAATAACAAAATGAAAACCAAAACTAACAATACTATAATAGTATCTAAAAAATACTTAAGTGACACAGTTATTAGTAGTAGTAGTTATTTTTATTCATTATTTTAATATTTCTTATTTAAATGTAATGTTTCTAGTACTTTGCAATAATAAATGCAATATTTAAAAATTATTTTCTCATAACAATTATTATAATAAATTATCATTAAGTACAGATGAAGTGAAAAGACTGCATGATTTTCAAACTAGTCGTGTCACAGATGTTTTCACACTGCATGACTATCTGGGCTAGCGTTTCGTCGCTGCTTTGTTTACACTCGAGATAGATCGGCGACAGGGACTTTCACATTGCATGACTTTACTATAGGAAGAATCGCCGACAACTTCGTCCAAACTACGTTTCACAGCCAAAAACATGTAGTATGATGTATATCTTTTGTTTTTAACTACATAATGAGAAAGAAGCCTTTAATGGGGTAGAACATGTACATGTTAGCTCACCTGGGTTTAAAGGGAATTAGTAATTTCTCCTCAACGTTGATAATAAACTAATTTCTTTCTGTATGAAACGTCAAACAGACACGGTTGCTCCTGAGTCCTGTCAAACCTCCACTAGTTTTTCCTCCATTTCGTGGGTCCAAATAAATCGAAAATGAGCGCTTTTAACTTCTCCCCCAGCCTCCCACTGGCCAGCAGCATGTATACACACACACACACACACACACACAAGTGAAATCTACTCTCTCATTGGCTGTAGGCGATCGCTGATGTTATTTTCAGTCAAAACTCAATTCACACGGCGTGATTTGAATCGCCGACAGCTCCAGATATTTAGCATGCCAAATATCTCGCAGGCATCGGCGACTCATCGGCGATTCTCTCAGATCGCATCTTTGATCGTTCATACTGTGTGATTGTCACTCACGTGCACGAGCAGCGATTTGCCTGTGATTTCAGGCATTTGTCGGCGATTTCTCAAAACCTGACGGCGAGCCAAAATCGGGGCTAAAATCACACAGTCTGAACTAGGCATTATATAATGACTTGCCTAATTACCATAAGTAACCTAGTTAAATGGCACTTTAAGCTGAATACTAGTATCTTGAAAAATATCTAGTAAAATGTTATGTACTGTCATCATGGCAAAGATAAAAGAAATCTTTGCAATGACGACAGTACATAATATTTTACTAGATATATGTATTCATTAGGTATGTGTATATAATATGTGGCATTCTCTAAGAATATGCCTGTTACAGTGATAACAAAATTCTTTTCCCTCTCCAGATGGGAAATCTCCTGCCCTATAGTGACCCTGGGGTCGTCTTCCTCTTCCTCGGGTCATTTGCTGTAGTGACCATCATGCAGTGTTTCCTGATCAGCACGGCGTTTGCACGTGCCAACCTGGCAGCGGCCTGCGGGGGCATCATCTACTTCACTCTCTACCTGCCTTATGTGCTGTGCGTGGCCTGGCAGGACTATGTGGGCTTCGCCGCCAAAGTCATCGCTGTGAGTACCTATAGAAGATGTGCTTCACAATTACAAAGTGCAAAAGTGCATGTGCTGGTTATCATACAGTACACTGCTAAAGGGATCTCGTTTATACTGCTTTCCTTATCTATAATGACTTATAGGTGCCATGTGAATATCTTAACTATACAATTGCACTTTGCTTTGGTTCCTGATCTGGCTAACCCTAGATTACAAGGAATCTTCACTATAGGGTGTTCCCATTTAAAATAGTTAAACGGTAGTGATTGATGAAAGATCTGGTACAATAATACAAGAGTTCAGTTTAATGCAAACCAGAGTTTCTATCTGCTGATTATGTGCCTTTTGATCACTAAAAACATGAGGTAACACTTGATTTTGATGGTCCGTTTGAGTATTAGTAGACTTTCTTCTTAATATCAGCTGATACTGCTCCTTCAACAGACATTTACTTGACTTTAAGAGACTTTGCAAGTATATGTTTACTTACACTAATCCTAACCCCAACCTGAGAGTCTACTAGAATCAGTTGGCATGTAGATGCAATGTAACTTGAATTCAAGAGTTCACACTTAGTTAATGATCTATCAAAAGCTTGTTTGGCATGCTGTCCCGGGAGAGAGCCCCGAGCTCAAGGCATCCTCGAGAACTCCCCGGCTGCGGTAGATAAAGGAACACATGAGGAAAGGGCTTAGGCCCCGTTTACACTAGTGCGTTTTAGTTTTAAAACGACGTTTTAGAATGAAAACGATCTGCGTTCACACTTGCGTTTTATCCAGCGTTTCTGAACTGCTCTCCGTCCACACCACAAGGCTGAAAACGCACATCACGTGACCACACACACACTCTGGCAAGCGGTAGGAGGTGTGAGGAAACCAGAGAACCTGGGGAAAACCCACACAGTCACTGGGAGAATATAGAAACTCCTCACAGAAACGCCAGGACCAGGGCCGGCAGTGTTCTTGCTGTGGGGCTCACATGGCTAACCACTGGGCCGCCGGGCCGCCCGATCAGTGGTAGAGGAGGAGAATAGGGGAGAAAGGGGGGTTTCTTCCAAACGAAGATAAAATGGACTGAAAACTGTGGTTGTTTATAGTAGCTTAAGGCTCATATGATTGGAAGATAGTGATTAGCTAATACAAGACCGGACGGGATAAATCATAAACACGTGATCCTCTCGAAATTAGTTTATGAATACTTCACTTCAAGAACACCATCGAAATAAAGTGTGACCAAACGTGATTTTAATTGTAATGTGTGTTTTAGCATGACACCGCAACGTATAAATACTTTGTTTTAGTTTGTTATTTTAACACTATCATATATTTTACACATTCAATCAGTGGGAGAAGAGGGACGAAGTGCATTTAAAATCCAAGCCATTGATTATCCTGATTATTCTATGGTCATTTATGAAGTTATAGACAAATTAAAACTAGTCTAATAAATTAGCACAATATTTGTCCAAATGTTTGTCAGTTATGACATGTCATGCTGCGTTCACACCAGATGCGGGATGCGCGTCAAGCGTGAGTGATTTACATTTTAAGTCAATGCAAACACGCGAATAGACATCCGGAAAATTGAGTGTTTTACGCGTTTGACGTGCTTAACGCGTGTTTTGTGCGAATTTCTCGAGTTCGAAAATCCGAACTTCAGTGGACATTCGCGCCGCGTTAACCAATCAGAAGCTTGCTCTTGTGGGGCCGTGATTGTGATTTATAACCTGTTGATGGTGTCTCGGGGGAAATCCTCCAGGCAACACCGACAACAAGTCATCAAACTGGGCTTGGCTCAGTCAGAAGCACCGTTGAAAGCCTCCGTCATCCAGGTTCAGTTACTGGAGGAGTTTAAGAGCTCACACAGCTGGATGCACCTCTGAAAGCATATAGTGGTCTCAGACACGGCCCTAAACGTATCGACGCTGTTTTTCAGTTTTCATAAAGCACATTAACACTGTTATTTTCTTCATAAAATCCATGTTAGCCTTTTAGCAACGAAGCTACAGTCACCGGGCAGATAGAAGCCCTGCCCATCACGCGAATCCGCGAATTTGACACGCGAATGAAGCGGGGTTTGACGCGCGAATGAAGCGAGTAACCTGAAATGTTCACGCGGCTATTTACACGCGAATAGCACGATTAATCCGCGCGTTCTGCGTCTGGTGTGAACACAGCATTAGACAGAAAGAAAGTGTGCGCGAGAGAGATAGTGTGTGTGTGTGTGTATATGTTCCGGGCATATCTAATAGCTCATAGTAACATGTGCTAGCTACCTCTTCACAAGAAGACACTTTTTTGAGCTGATTTGTGACTTCATGGATCAATCTTGATTCCACACATTATCGAGAACACACAGAGGAATTGGGGCTTTGACAACTGTCACTTGGTTATTATGATAACAGCTAAAAACTGACCGCAACCAGAGATTTTCTTGCTATATGGAGATGAAAAACTGTCTATTACTTACTATTAGAGAAAGTATTATGGCTAATGTGGATTCCACGAGGCACCTCAGCCAATCATGTAATGGCATTATCACCTGTGGCTAACATTTAGTTTTACGACAGATTTTGTGGTCTTGTTCTCTCGTCTTAAATATCGTGATAAGTGATTTTAATTTGAATTAATGCTGATATCATGAAAATCTCTTAACAAATAGGTGATTAACGTATTAATAATGAAGAAGGAATGCTCTGTAAAATAGCTGAAATATGAAACATGAATGTAAATTTATTTATTTTTTCTTACAGCTTAAAATAATATACAAAACAGTCCTAAAACGAACAGCTTTTTATTAATAATGTTACACATAGTACACTACATGTAATGTTGTTTAGTAATGCCATAAATAGCTCCAAGCTGTCATGGCATTCCCTACTATATTATCAGGGTAAAGAAAACATATGGCTCACCGTGAATGTGTTGTTTAATGTTAAACATGTTGAAGATTAGTGAACAGGCTGCCCATTCATTAACCGATAATCTATTTCCTCACAAAAGCTGTTTATTCAGTAGAGTGACGCCATTTTTCCATTGACATCCATTTAAAAAACGGCCTCTGGTCTCCTTCCAGTGGATAATACAGCAGGTTAGCTGGGTTGCTACTTGAGATTAGCATTGGTTCAGAATCTGAGCTGCCTCTATAAAAATGCAACAGCAACAGCCTTAACTTACATACCTAGATAATGCAATTGTTTTATAGACGGTGAAATAAAATGAAATATTAAAAACTGACATTATAACAACTTGCATCGATGTTGTGTCCACAGAGCTTACTGTCTCCGGTGGCGTTTGGCTTTGGCTGTGAGTATTTTGCCTTGTTTGAGGAGCAGGGTGTGGGTATTCAGTGGAATAACCTCTTCTCCAGTCCCGTGGAAGAGGACGATTACAACCTCACCACCTGCCTCATCCTCATGTACTTTGATGCCTTCCTGTATGGGGTCATGACCTGGTACATAGAAACGGTGTTCCCAGGACAGTATGGCATTCCCAGGCCATGGTACTTCCCTTTCACTAAATCCTACTGGTTTGGAGAGAACAGCACAAACAATACTGCAATACACGGAAAGAAGAGCAATGCAGGGGGTAAGACATCATTGTGATTCCACCTTTTATTTATATATATCATCCCACATAGCAAAATTTCTCTGGCCCACAGTCAGCTTTTGCTTGGCCCACATGCTGCAGCAAATTATTCAATTCAATACAATTAATCTTTATTACTGTAGCGCTTTTACAATGTAGATTGTGTCAAAACAGCTTAACATGGTAGTTTTAGTAAATTGAAACTGTGTCAGTCCAGTTTTCAGAGTTTGGTTTAGTTCAGTTCAGTGTAGTCTAATTTTCACCTACAATTTTCACAAGCCAGTGACGAAAGTGAAGGAAAGAAACTTTGAGAGAAACCAGGCTCAGTGGCGCATGACCATTTCTTCTCTGGCCAAACTTCTTGTGCAGAGCTGCAGTCTAGGCACCAGAGGCTAAAGAACGCTGGATGGCCATTATGGAGAAGCTGCAGGTTTGTGTAGGTCACCGGCGGGTGTACAGGGGATCAATGCGGAGACTCATCTGTTGCTAGGATCTTTCAGAAATCAGTATCATGCTCTCCACTCCTCCACGACAACCATAGCATTTGCCCAGGATATGGCTAGGTCCAGGATTATGGAGACCCCTAGAAGTCCTCTATGGTTGGGATTATGTTAGTTGACTAGACAAAGTCTGGCTTCCAGACAAAGGGCAAACCTGGACCATATCCGGGCTCAGCCAAGTCTCAGCCAAGTTAATAACTGAGCCTGAACTGGGCTAGATATGTTGGTGTGTAGCGACTGCAATGAAATTGCTAGAACCGTGAAGTCTTGTGCTTTAGGCAGGCATGGGTGTGTTTTTTCTTGAAGCGACCTGATTGGTAGAATTTTTCACTTTATTCAAAAATAATTTTAATGTATTTTAATGAGTCAAGATAGGCCAAACTCATGCGGCCCACATATCAATTTTTAACATCTGGGACAAATACTACATTTCACATCTGGCCCAAGTCTTGTGTGTTGCCATAAAGATAGTGCCACCACTGCCCTACCCGGGCCATGTTTGGCCCACATCCTGTATGCCTGCTCTGCCAGCTTTATGCCAAATCTGGGCCAGAATTCTTTGCTACCTGGGATTAAATGCCAAATGTGAAAGACATAAGTTTAATTGAAAAGGGCAAAAATTAAATCTGTCTTGTGTTGTTGTTGTTGTTTTTAAAGCTGTTTGCATTGAAGAGGAACCTACTCACCTTAAACTGGGAGTTTACATTGAGAATCTGGTGAAGGTCTATCGCCATGGTAAAAAGCTAGCCGTGGATGGGTTGACACTTGGTTTTCATGAAGGTCAGATAACATCCTTCCTGGGTCACAACGGAGCTGGCAAAACCACCACCATGTAAGTTCACATTTCTAATTAAAATCAAATACTGTTTTTTAGATTAGCTGTAAAACTTGTTTTTTTAATATTGAATACTTTTGTTCAGCGAGGAGAGAGGTAACAATAGTGACGATCTTAAAATGTAGTCATCTTAAATTGTAAAAATATTTCACAATATCTTGATAAAACTGACCAATTCTGGCTATTAATTAGTGTCTTATCACCTGACTATTATGAAAATACTAGTGGTTTATTAGTACTAATTCTACCCTACACCAAAACCCAGCTACTACCTTATTAAAAGTTATTAAAACTATTAAAAAGCAGCAAATTAGGAGATTACTAAGGTGACAGTCATAGTTAAGGGTTCATAAATAGCAAGAATTGTACCTTAAAATAAAGTTTGACTCAGTTTTTTTCTATTCATTTGGTTACAAAATCTAACCTTTCAATTGATCTTCAATGTTTTTAGGTCTATCCTCACAGGCCTTTTCCCTCCCACCTCTGGCACTGCATACATCATGGGCAAAGACATTCGTTCAGAGCTGAGTTCAATCAGGCAGAGCCTCGGAGTGTGTCCACAACACAATGTCCTCTTCAGCATGTAAGTGCCATCATCAGACCTACAAAATCCAATCATTAACAATAATTCAACACATTTCACAAATCAAAACCGCCTTTTGCTTGGTATTTCAGGTTGACAGTAGAAGAGCACATCTGGTTCTATGCTCGCCTGAAGGGTCTGTCTGAGGAAGAAGTGAAAGCTGAGATGGAGCAGATCCTGAGTGACACTGGCCTTCCGCACAAACGCAAATCCAGAACCAGCCAGTTGTCAGGTTGGTGACTTTACCTGTTGCATGAAAATCCTTAAGCTAGGAAATTTCTTAGTTTGAAGGTTAGGGGTACCCTTAGCAAAACTTGGGTCCCAAGAACAAAAACCTAAAGGTCAACTTAAGGACTTTAAGGCTGCCATTAAGTATTTCCTCTTAATGATCTAAGTCAAAGGTGTCAAAGCCAATTCCTGGAGGGCCGAAGCACTGCACAGTTTAGATCCGACCCTAATTAAACAGTCCTTCAGGCTTGTTTGAAACATACAGGTAAGTGTGTTGAAGCAGAGTTGTAACTAAACTGTTCGAGGCTGCAGGCTTCCAGGAACTGACTTTGACACCAGTGATCTAAGTGTTCCCTTAACCATTGCAAAGTTCTTAGTAACCCCTTAAAATTTTAAAGGAACTAAAACAGCTACCTTAAATGGGCAAATGACCCATCACAGGAAAACATAGCTAAATATACACAGCGTGTCGAAAACACGTCTGTCCAAAAGGATCTACGTGATCCCAGCTAAGTTTAATAGGTCCTTCATACATAATGTCGAGATCAATTAAATAAGGGAATGTCTCGACTTGCTTGATGAAAAAATTAAACGGCACAGATGATGTGTATTGCAGAGTATACAATCTTTTAACTATAGCAACCACGACACCCTTATGTCCTATGTTACCAGAAACTAAAGTGAATCACTTACAAAAGTCACTTAGGTAAGGGTGACAGTTAAGAAGTTTGTTACGATGCTCTAAATGAAATCCCTTCCCTCAGGGATTTCCCCCCTCAGAGACACCCTTAAGTTACTTTCATTCTTTTTATCCTTAAGGACTTTCATTCAACCAGGCACTGAACTTTTGTTTGTTGGTAGGTTTTATTGGTTGCAAACCTTACTTTTGTTGTTCCTCAGGTGGTATGCAGAGGAAGCTCTCAGTAGCTCTTGCTTTCGTTGGAGGGTCAAAGGTTGTCATTCTGGACGAGCCTACTGCTGGTGTGGATCCATATGCTCGTAGAGGCATTTGGGACCTTTTATTGAAGTACCGTGCAGGTAACCCAATGCATTTACACATTTGTTGTTCATTTTGTATTTATAATTGAAGAAACTTACAAGCAGATTTCTGCTTTTTTTCTTTCTTCAGGTCGTACAATACTTCTTTCTACCCATCATATGGATGAAGCAGACATTCTGGGTGATCGAATTGCTATCATCTCCCATGGAAAGCTTTGCTGTGTGGGCTCCTCGCTGTTTCTTAAGACTCAACTGGGCACCGGATACTATCTTACATTAGTGAAGAAGAACACTGAGCCTTCTCTCAGTTCTTGCAGGAACTCAAGTAGCACTGTGTCATTTGTTAAGAAAGTAGGTACACTTCAGGTTGCAAAAACAAACACTGAGTCATTTGGTAAGCCGCTAAGTGCTGTTGTTTGATTGGTTTTCTAGGATGATAATGCATCTGAGAGCAGTTCGGATGCTGGTCTAGGTAGCGACCAAGAGAGCGAAGCAGCCACAGCAATCGGTAAGACAACACCTGACCTAAAACCTTAAAGAAACACTCCACTTTTTTTGGAAATATGGTCATTTTTCCAAGTCTCCTAGAGTTAAACGGTTAAGTTTGACTTTTATTGAATCCATTCAGCCGATCTCTAAGCAGGAGCACTTTTAGCTTAGCTTAGCATAGCATTAATTATTAAATCAGATTAGACCAAAATCCAAAATAATCAGTTTTAATTAGCCATAGAAAATATAGTTTAATTTTTTTCTGTTTAGTACACTATGTAACTACAGAGGAGTTAAGTAATAGTTTGTAAGTAGTAGTTAAAAATAAGCCTTTTTCCTATTTTTTGCTTATCCTATGCTATGCAAACTATTACTTAAGTGTTTACTGTGTTCTGTAGGAACTTCTTGGCCCGAATCTCCTGTTGTGCCAGTTGATGTAACCATCATTTCCAGGCTAATCCTAAAGCATGTTCCTGCTGCCCGCATGGTGGAAGACCAAGGCCACGAGATCACATATGTGTTGCCATATGAGTCTGCTAAAAACGGTGCTTTTGTTGAGCTCTTCCATGACCTAGATGATCGGCTTGCAGACCTTGGCATTTCCAGCTATGGTGTCTCAGATACTACACTTGAGGAGGTACGGTAGAGCTTCTAATGGCTTTTTTTTCTTAACAGAAAACTGATTTGGGGTTTTTAATCAGTTAATAATCTCTATTTATAGATTTTCCTAAAAGTGGCGGAGGACAGCGGAGTCGACACTGAAATGCTCTCAGGTAAATTTGAAGCTCACTATACCTCTCAGGTAAACTGAATAAGGTAAGCATACAGTGCAGAGGAAAGATCTGATCTTGTATTTTTATTATTGTGTTAGACGGAACTCTGCCGGTGCGCAGACAGAGACGACATGCATTTGGTGCTGATCACCAGAGCTGCCTGAAACCCCTGACCGAAGACGATAGCTTTGACTGCAATGAATCTGAGGGTGATCCAGGTAGAATCTTAAAACATGTCTACTGTTGCATTAGGGTCAGACAATTTTCTTAATATTCTTGTTTGTGCTGTCTATTTGATCACCAGAATCCAAAGAAACTGACTATTTGAGTGGGTCAGATGGCAAAGGATCATATCAGGTGAAAGGCTGGAGTCTGAAGAGGCAGCAGTTTGTGGCTTTATTATGGAAGAGACTGCTTTACGCTCGCCGCTCTAGGAAAGGATTCTTTGCACAGGTACAAATGAGAAATATACTTTAGTCATTAAAAAAAATGACCAATGGTTTCATTGTTTCCGCAAAGCATTATAACCACAAGTAGATAATAGAGAGACTCTTGGTACCAATGATTTACATGATCTTCCACTGTACACTGTAAGTCTTATATAGACCAGGGGTGACTAAACTTGGTTCTGAAGCGCTGGTGTCCTAGTAATATGCTGGTTTCTGTATTTAATTAGGGGTTGGAGCTAAACTCTCCAGGACACCGGCTCTCCAGGGCCGAGTTTGTGCACCCCTGGTGTAGACTATTGGAGATTTTTAAAATACCTAGCAAGAGCTTGATTGGCTAGCCCGGGTGAGTCTGATTAGGGTTGGAACTAAACTTTGCAGAAAACCATCCCTCCAGGACCAAATTTGTGCACCCCTGGTATAGACTATTGGTGCCTATTTGTTTCTATTATTATCAAATACATTGGAAGTCATGCAGCTCATAGAGATTGTTGGTGGCTTTGGTTTGTGATTGTGTTGGTGCCAATAGTCTTCGATCTTAAAGGGATAGTTCTGCAAAAAATGAAAATGTACTCATTATTTCCTTGACTACAAGTGGTTCCAAAGCTTTATGAGTTTCTTTCTTCGGTTAAACCCAAAGATATTTAGAAGAAAGCTGAAATATGTAACCACCGACCTCCATATTATAAAGAACAAATACCATGGAAGTCAATGGTTAGAGGTTTTCAGATTGTTTGGATTTAGAAAAACAAAGAAACTTTTCCAATGGTTTCAGTTTCCCCAAAGCATTGTAGCCACAAGTAGCTAATAGAGATTATTGATACCAATGATTTACATGATCCCCCAAAACACTGTATGTGGAAGCGATTGTATGGACCAGGGGTGCTCAAACTCGGTCTTGGAGGGCTGGCGTCCTGCAGATTTTAGCTTGAACTTGCCTCAACACTTCTGCATGGATGCTTCTAGAAAGCCTAGCAAGAGCTTGATTAACTAGCCCAGGTGTGTCTGATTGGGGTTGGAACTAAACTTTGCCCCTCAGGACCAAGTTTGTGTATCCCTGGTATACACTATTAGTGCCTATTTATTTCTATGATTCTCAAATACATCGCAAGACTTGCAGCTCATAGAGATTGTTGGTGTCTTTGGTTTGTGATTGTGTTGGTTTTAACAGTCTTTGATCTTAAAGGTATACAGTAGTTCTGCAATAAAAGAAAATGTACTCATTATTTAGTCAACCTCAGGTGATTCCAAAGCTTTGTGTTTCTTTCTTCTGCTGAACCCAAATATATTTAGAAGAAAGCAGACACCTGTAATCACGACCTCCATAATAGGAAAAACAAATATTGTAGAAGTCAATGATTAGAGGTTTCCAGCTTTCTTCGAAATATGTTCTTTTGAATTGGCACCTATAACCCAGTGATTAGTGTGCTGACATATAGCGCAACAGTGATTCCAGGCATCCCGAGTTCGAGTCCTGGCTTATGGACCTTTCCTAATCCCGTCACCCCTCCCTCTCCAACTTCACTTTCTGTCATTCTTCTATCTTGCCAAGGCGAAAGTGTCAAAAAATACAACTGCAAAAAGTGTTATTTTGGATTAAGCAGAAGAAAGAATCTGATAAAGGTGTGAAACAAGTAAACGGTGACAGAATTGACATTTTTGGGTGAACGATCCCTTTAACTACAGTACTTTTCAAAAACACTCACTGTGATTGTCTTCACAGATCGTTCTTCCTGCTGTGTTTGTGTGCATCGCTCTGGTATTCAGTCTCATTGTGCCGCCATTTGGGAAATATCCCAGCCTGGCTCTTAATCCCTGGATGTATGAAGAGCAGTTCATGTTCTTCAGGTGCATAAAGACATCATGCCATTCAGCATTAATTTAAAATATTTGTAAGGAACCACTCTAAATACTGCAATTTTGTGTTAACAGTGAAGATGCTCCTTATGACGTAAGCACACATAAGTTGCTCAGAGCTCTGTTTGATGATCCTGGCTTTGGAACACGATGCATGAAAGGAGAATCAATTCCGTAAGTAACCTACGGTAAATTTTGTAACTTTTTTTAGTAAAACAAATAGCTAAGTTATGTTTTTCTATGGTGTTAGGGATGCTCCCTGTACAATGGGCGATGAGGAATGGTCTACACCAGAAGTGCCAGAAAGCATAATAGAGATTTTAACAACAAGGAACTGGACTATGAATGACCCATCGCCTGCTTGTGAGTGCAGCTGTAATGGCAAAAAGAAGATGCTCCCAGAATGCCCTGCGGGTGCAGGCGGTCTCCCACCTCCTCAGATTAAGATCAGTGAAACTGAGACTCTCCAGAACCTGACAGGACGAAACATCTCAGACTATCTAGTGAAGACCTACGCACAGATCATTGGAAAAAGGTATGACCTGATTGTATGATTGCTTAACTGAAATTAATTCCACATTATCATCAAGTGCATTAACAAATGGATCCCTTGACAGCTTAAAAAACAAGATCTGGGTGAACGAATTTAGATATGGAGGATTTTCATTGGGAGCCAGAAGCACTCAGGTACTTCCTCCAGCTGAGGAGATTGACGACGCCATCTCTAGAGTCAGGGAGATCTTCCAACTGGGGAAGGTAAATAAAAAAACGACCACTATTATAATAAGATTCAGACAGCTGTCAGGAATAGTGTGCAAATTATTTCTTTTCATCCAACACTTTTAGGACTCAGGATCAGCAGCCGACCGTTTCTTAAAAAGCCTGTCTGCATTTATCAATGGGTTGGACACTAAGAATAATGTCAAGGTCAGTGATCTGGCGGGGATGGCAGTGACATTAGCAATCTCAGAAGTGAAGACGCGGAGTTGGTTGGGAGGATTGCAGGTGGAAGGGGGGGGGGCGTTAGCAATGACCTAGATAAAAAAAAGGGGGGTTACCCTGTAACTGGGCCCCTAAATAGCCAGGCTCCTATGCACTCTGTCACCCTTTTCCCTTCACTTACTACGCCCCTGCTCATTTATAACCATAATAAGAGCTATGTGATATGACATGATGCATAAACAGGATTTAAACATGTTATTACATGTGTTTGTTGTCAAGGTTCCACAGTATAAATGTTAAAATAACAAAAGATCAGACCTTATATCTCGCTGAATATATTTATAACTCTCTGCCTGTATCATTTGTTTTCAAAATAAGAGTCCTGCATATGTCGAATGTTTAATACAACCTTATATATACTTAAAATTAAAGAAAACACATATAATTGTTGTAATCTCACTAGCAAATGTGGCCATTCAATGAAGTGTGCATAATTTAATCATGTTAGTGACATAACATTGTGTGTTTTATTCCAATTGGACTTTCTTTCTTGGTCATTTCCATCTTTTATTAGTCATCTGTATCCATATTTTTATTCTATGGCACCTTTAAACTACCTTTAAACCATAGAACTATTCCTGATTTATATTGGTGTTTTGTTTGTACTTTCAGATTTGGTTTAATAACAAGGGCTGGCACAGTATTGGGGCCTTCCTCAATGTAATGAACAACGGTATCTTGCGTGCAAACTTACCACCCGGTAAAGACCCCAGTGAGTTTGGCATCACTGCGTACAACCATCCACTCAATCTGACCAAGGAACAGCTTTCTCAAGTGGCGCTGTAAGTCCTGAAATAATGATTCAATTAAATATTAATAACAAAAATAACATATTTAATGGATTAACACAGTTTTACGATCTCTGATTGATGGCCTTTCAGGATGACTACCTCGGTAGACGTGCTGGTTTCCATCTGCGTGATCTTCGCCATGTCTTTCGTCCCTGCTAGCTTTGTTGTCTTCCTCATCCAAGAGCGAGTGAACAAAGCCAAGCACATGCAGTTTATCAGTGGAGTTCAGCCATATCTCTACTGGCTGGCAAACTTTCTCTGGGATATGGTGAGTGTCTGCTTTATATGCTATAATCCTCCCAAATATGCCAAGTATCTAAATGCACATGTCTGTCTGTTTTCTGCTACAGTGCAATTATGTTGTTCCTGCCACTCTGGTGATCCTGATCTTTGTGTGCTTTCAACAAAAAGCCTACGTTTCCGCCACCAACCTGCCTGTTCTTGCCCTGCTTCTGCTTCTATATGGGTAAGACATTCTTATGGAGCTAGTATGACGATCACTCGCAAATTAGGAACATTTTCTGTAGATATGGGAGTTGTGCTGGCTTTTGCACAACAGGTCTTTAAGCAGCAGATCACTACATGCATTTTTCTGATCGGATAGCTTTCTGTTTGTAAAAAGGGAAGGTGTAAATGCTTTCTGAAATGCATTTGAGATGGATATGAATCCAATCTCTCAAATAACTTTAGGAGGTGGTCTTTGATGCATTCCAGACGAACCTGGACAAGTCTAAATGTTGGATCTTACTCCTTCCAAAATGTAAATAAACAAGTGAGACTGTGGCCCCGTTTACACTAGTGCGTTTTAGTTTTAAAACGGCGTTTTAGAATGAAAACGATCCGCGTCCACACTCGCGTTTCACCCAGCGTTTCTGAACTGCTCTCCGTCCACACCAAAACGCTGAAAACGCACATCACGTGACCACACACACACTCTCAGGCAAGCGCTGTAGCCAATCTACCCAGATGAGAGCTGTGCTAGTCGGACTTCTCATCAAGCATCTCCCGCTGGATCTAACCTCACTATATTTATTAAACGGAATATTTCTTTCATCTTGTTGTCTTTATTTAACGACATATTCATTGGACATTGGAATCTATTACTTGTTCTCAGGTAATGTGTTTTGGCTGAGCGCAAAGATAAGTTAATGATTAATGTAAGCACGTACATTCTGTATTTTGACTGATCGCTTGCCTTTATTTCCTATAATGTATAAACTTATTGTATGTTATACTTTTATAATGGCCATTATCGATTAAAACTGATATTCAGCAAAGAGAGGGTGTGTTTCGTATTTTCACTGAAATTGAAAGGAGGCAGTTGTTATCGGCTCCGTTTTGTTATAAATATCCACACAGTGAAGATGACGCTCATATTTGCAGCACGGCGCCTCAACATTTTTGCTGTCTGTTTAGTTGTTAATATTAAAATGAAAATAGGCAGTTCCTTATATCATGTTTACATTTTATTGTTGAGAAAGTAAAACAACGTAGCCAGGGTGATGTGAATGAAGTTATAAAGTACACTGTTCCCTTTGAAGATTTACCCGTGTCCTCGGTATAGTCTGTTTTCCATATCAAACTGAGAAGAAGAGATTGCAGCCATGATCAAACTTGCGAAGTTTTAACTTACTTAGAAGATGCAGGACTGAACTGTGCGTGTTAGGCTACTTAATATTCAGGAAAAGCCCCAATCAGAGAGGCGAATGTCTGCAGCCCCGCCTCCGTTTTCAAATGTCTCCGTTTTCCATCATCCACACTGAGACGGAGCAGCTGCGTTTCAGAATGAAAACGGCCTCTCCAGCGTTTTCGAAACGCTCCGTTTTCGGCGCTCGAGAACTCCGGCGTAGTGTGGACGGATGGCGTAACCGTAGCAAAACTTATGCGTTTTCAAACTAAAACGCATTAGTGTAAACGGGGCCTGTGTTAAGGGCAATATGACATCAGATATATAAGCAAAATTGCAACACGCAACATAAAAGATTATAGTTTAGTCTTTCGGCAAGGCAGTAGGTAGTGCTGTCGCCTCACAGCAAGAAGGTCGCTGGGTCGCTGGTTCAAACCTCGGCTCAGTTGGTGTTTCTGTGTGGAGTTTGCATGTTCTCCCTGGCTTCGCGTGGGTTTCCTTTGGGTGCTCCGGTTTCCCCCACAGTCCAAAGACATGCGGTACAGGTGAATTGGGTAGGCTAAATTGTCCGTAGTGTATGAGTGTTTGTGTGAATGTGTGTGTGGATGTTTCCTAGAGATGGGTTGCGGCTGGAAGGGCATCCGCTGCGTAAAAAACTTGCTGGATAAGTTGGCGGTTCATTCCGCTGTGGCGACCCCGGATAAATAAAGGGACTAAGCCGACAAGAAAATGAATGAATGAATGAGTTTAGTGTTTCAGATACATATTCTACATATATACACAGGGCTCGAAATGAACCCTTTTGATTGGTAGCACCGGTGCTCCTGACTTTAAAAATGCAGGCGCATCAGTCAAAATTTAGTGGCACCCACCAATTATAAGCACCGTTACTACACGTTTTATACAAACATATTTATTGCATTTGAAATCAACACTAATCAAACTTACAAGCAAAAAAATATATATGCAAGCCTGAGGAAAATACGTCTCAACGAAATCCCGTTATCACAAAAAAATACATTTTTATAACATAACTGAGTGACCAAATGGTACACGGACCGCTCACCGCCCCTGCATGCACTGCTTGACATGAATGAATCTGTTAACGAAAACTGTGCTGTTTGTCACAGGTGCTGTCTAACATTGCACTGATGCTTTTGACATATACTGTACCTTATTATATGCATATAATACATATTCAGTTTTATATATACGTTTGTATATAGCACAGTATCACAAAATAAGTCATTTAAGGTTTCTTTCCTACAGAGCAGGTGTATCCTTTGTTGCATAAATGACTAATAGAGATTACTCGAATGCATATAAATGTGATTTATCGCTTTAAATCTCTCATTGAGTACGTTTACATGGACACCAATATTCAGATTTTAATACGATTAAGGGGATACTCTGATTAAGAGTCTACCATGTAAACAGCAATTTTTGGTTCATTTAATCCGATTAAGGTCATAATTGAACTAAACAGAAATCGAATCAAGACCTGTGGAGTATGCCGATTTTAGTCGCATTATTGAAGTGTAGTACAGCATGTAAACACCGCAATCAAACTGTTACCATCATGAAGGACTTTTCACCGCGTTTTACGACAGGATAGTCTATACCAGGGGTCACCAACCCTGTTCCTGGAGAGCTACCTTCCTGCACATTTTAGTTGCAACCCTGACCAAACACACCTGTTTGTAATTATCAAGTGCTGCTTTAGGTACTATTAATCGGTTCGGGTGTGTTTGATCAGGGTTGAATTCTGCAGGAAGGTAGCTCTCCAGGAACAGGGTTGGTGACCCCTGGTCTATACACACACAGCTGTTTGGCACTATTTTCTGCACCTACCGAGTTAGTAAAGGACCAAAAATACACACACCACGCAATGCTGAGTTTTTTTTTCCTCCATTTTCCATATGCGGTATTAAATTCCATTAAAACAACACTCTTCCACCAGTCCTTACTTCGTTCTCGCTTTCAATACCTCAGTTTGTGAATGAAATATCAATTCATATCTGTTTAGTGGAGACACATTTATGCCCTGTAAAAAAATGTAATGACAAAAAGTCAAGATGAAGTGTTTTTAAGTTTCTTTAACTTATTTTAATAATCAGGTTAGTTGTACAAGTTGTACAAAGTTTTACATAATATTTGTAGCCCGTTTGATTGATGTTGAGATGACTAGAAAAGTTCATTTGATTCAACAAAAAAAATTGAAGGCTACATTTGTGGCCAAATGTTAATAGATCGCTCAGTCTGTCTGTTAGACGACAGCAGCCTCTGGTGGATCTACAAGAGAATAGCAGGCATGAATAGCTCTAGATATTTGAGATCTCAAAAAGCAGCCTCTGGTGGATTCGTGAAAAGATTAACTGTAAAGAAAAGGTACCTCCTGGGACGTATTTCACGCTCTCCAGAAATGTATACTGGGGTACATATTCATAATGAGCCTGGATTGCCTAAGGCTCCGTTTAAAATATCAGGTCTTGATGATTTGTTGCCTATATCTGATTGTTTTGCCTGTCCGTTTACACATTAATTGTGACCCATTTCCGATTAATGTGTTTACACTTGCTATACAATTTACGATGTCGTGCATGCATAAAGGCAAGTTATAGCATCTGTGCTACACTAGCCACGATGTAAGAAATTGTCTTGCTTTTAGCTCTGTGAAATATGCGAAGGTTGCCCAACTTTAAAATAATTTTAAGGTGGAGGAGGAAGGAAATGGCCATCATCATAGCTTGTGCCTATGGTTAGTATATGGTGTCCTATAAAGAAAAGGTACCTCCTGGTATGTATTTCATGCTCTCCAGGAATGTATACTAGGGTACATATTCAAAATGAACCTGGGTTGCTTAAGTCCCCATTTACACTGTCAGGTCTTGATGCCTAATTCTGATTGCGCCTATTGTATATAGGGTGTCCTCCACTATTCAGAGGAATATGCGGGTACGAGAGAGATCTCAGGTTTGGTGGGAGCAAATTGTGGAGACTGACCACTTTTCTCCTCCATGTTTCTTCTGTTGTTGTTGTTGTTTACCGTGTTGGTGTCTCCACACACGCTCTTTCTTTTACGCCATTAAACTGCAGAGAAGCACCACATTGTCGCAAGTTATTGACATTCAAAACGGAATGCCTCAATAAATCCGATCTACCTGTTTAAATGATATTCACATCGTCACATATCCGATTTATATCTGATTTATGTCACCCTGCAGCCCAAGATCGTTTACTCACTGAAGCTAAGCAGGGCTGAGCCTGGTCAGTACCTGGATGGGAGACCACATGGGAACACTAGGTTGCTGTTGGAAGTGGTGTTAGTGAGGCCAGCAGGGGGCGCTCAACCTGTGGTCTGTGTGAGTCCTAATGCCCCAGTAAAAGTGAAGGGGACACTACACTGTCAGTGGGCGCCGTCTATCGGATGAGACGTTTAACCGAGGTCCTGACTCTCTGTGGTCCTTAAAAATCCCATGGCACTTCTCGTGAAAGAGCAGGGGTGTAACCCCGGTGTCTTGGCCAAAGTCCCTCTATCGGCCCTTATGATCATGGCCTCCCAATCATCCCCTTCCACCGAATTGGCTCGATCACTGTCTCTCCACTCCACCAATAGCTGGTGTGTAGTGAGCGCACTGGCGCCGTTGACCTGTGGCTGCCGTCGCATCATCCAAGTGGATGCTGCACACTGGTGGTGGTGTGGAGAGACCCCCCCTCATGATTGTAAAGCACTTTGGGTGTATGGTCATAAATACACATTACATTACATTACATTTATTTCCACATATAAAGGTGGTCTGAAACCGATTTCCAAATATCCTAATGCATGCGTTTATTTTTTTTGTGTGTGTTTACACGGCTATAGAACAGATTCGATCTGTGTCACATATGAGCAAAAAATCATAATTGGGTCACATTTAACTGGCAATGTAAAGTGGGTCTAAGATAGTCTGATCCCTAGATATAGTTGATATGGTCCCCTATACGGGGGTCTTTGCATGCTTCCTGTATCAAAAGGGCACACCTTTATTTATTTAGATTTACATTTACATTTACATTTAGTCATTTAGCAGACGCTTTTATCCAAAGCGACTTACAAATGAGGACAAGGAAGCAATTTACACAACCAAGAGCAACAATGAATAAGTGCTATAAGCAAGTTTCAGGTCTGTAAAGTCTAAGAAGGGAAGTATTAGTAGTTTTATTTTTTTTTTATTTATTTTTTTTTTTTGTGTACAGTTAGTGTGATATTCAGAGAGGCAATTACAGATTAGGAAGTGTAGTGGAGACTAAATAGTTGAGTTTTTAGTCGTTTCTTGAAAGTAGAGAGTGACTCTGCTGTTCTGATGCAGTTAGGGAGTTCATTCCACCAACTGGGCAGATTGAGCGTGAGCGTGAGCGAAAGTGATTTCTTCCCCCTTTGGGATGGAACCACGAGGCGACGTTCATTCACAGAACGCAAGTTTCTGGAGGGCACATAGATCTGCAGAAGCGAGAACAGATAAGGAGCAAGGCCAGAAGTCACTTTGTAGGCAAACATCAGAGCTTTGAATTTGATGCGAGCAGCAACTGGCAGCCAGTGCAAACGGAGTAGCAGCGGAGTGACATGTGCTCTTTTAGGTTCATTGAAGACCACTCGTGCTGCTGCATTCTGGAGCAGTTGAAGAGGCTTGATAGAGTTAGCTGGAAGCCCAGCTAGTAGATATAGACAGACACTTCATTCCCATTTGACACATTATATTTTACAAAGACAAAAGTGCCAACACAATCACCTATAATGCAAAGAGCTCACCTTCATATTCCTTCTGTGGGACCTGTATATGGTCGGGGGATTCTCAATACGCTAAAACTGTGTATCATTCATCTCGTCTCTCCTCAGATGGTCCATCACTCCTCTTATGTACCCAGCATCCTTCCTCTTTAAAATCCCCAGCACTGCTTATGTGGTTCTCACAAGCGTCAACATCCTCATTGGGATCAATGGCAGCATTTCAACATTTGTCATGGAGTTATTCGGAAATCATGTAAGACGTCTTTTTTGTTTGTTTGTTTTCTCATCCTCAGGCAGGATCACATTAGTATTTTATTGCACTGGTGCACATCATGATTTTTGAAGCCTTTCATCCTCTGATACAGGAAATTGGAGGAATTAATGACATCCTGAAGAACGTTTTGCTCATCTTCCCACATTTCTGCCTGGGTCGAGGTCTCATCGACATGGTGAAGAATCAGGCCATGGCTGACGCTCTGGAGAGATTTGGTAAGAATAGCTTGCTCTGACTTATATGCAAGTTTTCAGGATGTTGGAATTAAAATGATTAAGCACAATAAAAATGTTTTTCTTTATGAATTTTATATTAAAACCAACACAGTTCATTTACTAAGGACTTACTGCCTTTGCTATTAACATAGCTTTTGCAAGTTAAAATAGTTTGGTCAAAACTTAAAATTCACATGCCATTTGCTTACCCTCAAGATGGTCTAAACCTTTATGAGATTTTTTTTTTATTCTGTTGGATACAAAAGAAGATATTTTGAAGAAAGCTGAAACTATAGCAGGACAAAACAAATACTATGAAAGTAAATAGTTACAGGTTTTCAGCATTCTTCAAAATATCTTCTTTGGTGTTCAACAGATAAAAGAAAGTCAAACAGTTTTGGGTCAAGTGAAGGATGTGTAAAAATCATATAACCTCACTATACAAAAAAAGATGGATGTATTAGAAGGTTATTATAAAAATAGCAATTTCTACTGACAATAACCGAAAATAAAGAACATCAAAATTAATTCTCTGATTTATAATTATAATTTTTTTTTGCAAATGACTGTGTATTTGACAACTTCTGAAAAAGCTAAGGAAATAAACTCAAAATGGACTCTTTCCTTATATTTTCTTATCGAAATTGTGAGACATAAGCATAGAATTGTGGGTTCATTATCTTTAACTCCAAATTGAAGCTTCATTCATTCATTCTTTTTGGCTTAGTTTCTCCATTACTGGGAAACATCCATACTCATTCACACACATACACTATGGACAATTTTAGTTTACCCTATTCACCTGTTCCCCATGTCTGTGGACTGTGGGGGAAACCGGAGCACCCAGAGGTAACTCCACATAGAAACGCCAACTGATCCAGCCAAGGGTCGAACCGGCGACCTTCTTGCTGTGAGGCGAATGTCCTACCCACTGTGCCACCATGCTGCCCTCAAATTGAAGCTTTTTACACAATTCTAGAATTCATTTTCTGAGAATTCTTTCAGAAGTTGCTAGATGGAAAGCTGCATTTGTGAGGAAAAAAACGCCAGAAATGTGACAAAGTTTTCTTTTTTTACTTTGGCTTAAACAGGCTTCCATAAATTTCTTATAATTATCATGAATAAGTATTTCATTTAACTTAACTTATTACCTTGTTAGGTTTCCAGTTCCAGTTATTTATAGGAATGCAGGCATCATTCTTCAATTTAAATAATTCCGATATGTGAAGACTAAATATTATCGTTTAATCCTTTAAAAGTGCATTGTCCGCTGTATTTTGAAGTAATTAATTACTACTGAGGCATATGTATTAGATGCTGAATTCTTTCTTACCTTACATAAGGTGAGAACCGTTTCCGTTCTCCACTGGAGTGGGACATGGTGGGTAAGAATCTTTTCGCTATGGCTGTGGAGGGTGTGGTTTTCTTCATTATCACCGTCCTCATCCAGTACAGATTCTTCTTTGAACCCAAGTAAGCATCATTAACCAATGAAATTATGGATGGAAGTAGTTTCAAAGATCTAAAGCCATGCTTTGGTCCTTTTCCTTAGGTCTTTATGTCCTAAATTGAGTCCGATTGGAGAGGAAGATGAAGATGTAGCCAGAGAGAGGCAGAGGATCATGAGTGGGGCCGGACAGGGAGACATTCTCGAACTCCGACAGCTCACTAAGGTCAGCTGATGATCACACACAACAACCATAACTACAATTCAGTGATGAGACCTTCAATAATGTTGTCTACTATATTTACAGGTGTACAAGCGGAAACAAAAGCCTGCAGTGGATCGTCTGTGTGTTGGCATTCCTCCAGGAGAGGTAATTCATGACACCTACTGGTATAACTTTACTTGAAGGGGGTATTTTTGCCCTATTGACTTTCATTCATGTTCAGTCTGCAAACTCAAGCTCAAATGACAAGTTTCGCATGTTACTGCATTCGAAAGTTCAAGTCTGGACCCTGCGATTTTGCGTCGAGTGATTGCGTGAGACCAATAAAAAATCAAAACATGACCCCTCAGTTAGGGATGTCCTAATCAGGTTTTTTTGCCCTCAAGTCGGAGTCATTTGATTTTGAGTATCTTCCAAAACCCGATTCGATACTCCTATAATACATAAAAAAGAATAAAGAAGAGCATAGAAACACATCCGGGATGTTCCTTATTTTTTATTTAATTCACCTTATTCTAATGTTCAACAACTCTGTTAACAAACAGAGCACTTCTGTGAGGTAGCGTAAACAATCAAGTAACAAAGAACAAAAATTCTACACTTTCGGACTTTAGTCCAAGAGTAAATATTAAAAAACCTAGCATAAAAACAAATAGCACCTCAACTAAAATACCCGGCAGGCAATCCCTAGTTTACATATCTCACAGTTTGCTTTGGCAATGCTGTTGACATCAACATTAATATACCTCCAGACAGCAGACACGAGCTGCGTCCCAAATCGCATACTTATGCACTATTCTTCGCCATTTTGTAGTATAAATAGTGTAAGTAGTGTGTTCACACTGAAAACTCTAAAAACATTAAGTGCACTTTAATTACCCGGATGATGCACTCATTCAGCCGGTTAAATGAAGTGTGTAATGATGGACACTTCACGCACTCAACGACCGCAGGTTTGCTTACGTAGCGGAAGGGGCGGAGCTATCGGACGCACATGTTGGATAACTTTATTTATTTTGGATGGTAAAAGCAAAGTTCTACCATGAGAGTGATTATAGCGCCTCCCGATGGTTAATGCGGCAATACTCACGGCAGGTATTATTTGATAATTCGGTTGTTTATTTCACTGATTTGGCAACCGTCAAACGTCATCAGGGAAACGGTTTGAATTTCCGCTTAGTAAAAAAACATTAGTGTGCCATTTGGGACAACACTACATACATATACTATCCTGTTGAGTGTGTAAGTGCATAAGTACATAGTGCATGAGTGCATAGTGTATAGTGTGCCATTTGGGACGCAGCTACGCTTTCCGCTACAAGCTGCTTTCATGTTCCACTTTGCCGGCATTTAACCGATAGCGTCTCTGCAACAAAGTGATGTCATGCCGTACACGTTGCTGTTCTTGTGTAGCGTCAAAAAAGGGGTTTAACTCTGTGCCATTGCATAAATACAGATGGGTTAAAAATTTATGAGAAATATATATATATATATTCGAGTCCTGATCAAGAGGTAACGTCCGATTCTGATCGAGCCTGAAACCGCGTGATCGGGCCCGATTTTCCATCAAGTGATCGGATCTGGACATCCCTACCCTCAGTACATAAATGTAAACTATGAAGCAATCACTCCTTTAAATCAGTGTCACATTGTGTTGCTTTATGCACTACTTTTCACAGCACAGACAGATTTTTACATGCTCAAACCCTTTGAAAGTGTGCCTTGACTGTCCCTTAAGACTGTCATGAAACCTTCATAATCATACGACTGAAATTTTATGCATGCTTATGACTGTCGCTATGTATCATTGGCTCAGTTATGTAATTCCAAATGTTAAAATAAACTGTCTTTGTCATGACAACTTGACATTATCAAGACAAAGCAACTTGTCATAAATCTGTCATAAACATGATTGCCGTTGAGCCATTATAATTGTTTCATGAATTTTAAAACAGCGTTAAAACACCTTTAATATTTTTCTTGTCCTCAGCTAGTGGGACAAATTGAATTTGTCATTAAAATGTCATTAAATATAAATGGCGCTGTTTTAAAAGTATTTTTACTGAGACATTTCAATGACAAATTTAGTTGGTTCTACTCTCAAACAGAGATCAGAAAAATATTCTATTATACTTCAAGACAATTATGTTCATGACCAAGTTATGTTGTCTTGGTAATGTCAAGTTGTCATAACAAAGACATCAAACAATGTCATCTTTGCATTTAAAATTAAATGAGTGAACTGAGTGAATGACACTTAATAAGTGTTGTCATAGCCATGCATAAAATCTCATTCATTTTCATGACCACTGTCGATAAGTGTCATTCGCTCAGTTCTGTAATTTTAAATGTCTTTGTCATGACAATTTGACATTATCAAGAAAACTCAAATTGTCATAAATCTGTCATAAACATGATTGTCATTGGGCCATTATGATTGTTTCATGAATTTTAAAACAGTCATAACACCTTAATATTTTTCTTGTCCTCAGCTAGAGGGACAGATTGAATTAGTCTTTAAATTTTAATGACGCTATTATAAACGTTTTTTTTTTTTATTGAGACATTTTAATGAAAAATTTAGATAGTAGTCATGACACAATTATAATGATTTCACGAAAATCATGTTTATGACTAAGTTATGTTGTCTTGGTAATGTCAAGTTGTCATAAGAATGACATCTCGAACAATGGCATCTTTCCATTTAAAATTGAACTAAGCGAATGACACTTAACAACAGTTGTCATAGCCATGCATAAAGTTTCATTCATGTTCAAGACATTATAAAGGTTTTATGACCGTCTTATAAATACACCTTCGAATAAAGTGTTATCCGATAAATGATCAGCCTCAATGATTCCCAATGATTCTTCTCCACATAATCTGTAAAGCACAAACTGACATCCGTTTCCTTCTTTCAGTGTTTCGGTCTGCTTGGTGTCAATGGAGCAGGAAAAACCAGCACTTTTAAAATGCTGACCGGAGATTCTGTGGTCACCAAAGGAGAAGCGTTCATAGCTGGGAAAAGGTACAGAAGATCAGATATAAGCAGTTCTTACAGCAGATGTATAGGTCATAGGTTAATGTTAAAATGCCTTCTTATTTGCAGTATACTTAGGGAAATCGATGAAGTACATCAGAATATGGGCTACTGTCCTCAGTTTGATGCCATCAATGATCTGCTAACTGGACGGGAACACCTGGAATTTTATGCTATCCTGCGTGGTGTACCTGAGAACGAAGTTTGTGCGGTGAGTAGAGAATATATACTAACATGCATATTTATTCATTTAGCCTTTTAGGGTGATTTTCATTTGTCCTGGTCAGATCCTGAAGTTTAATTGTATCGGAGTAATACATCATTTTTTAAAAAGTAGAAAAAAGTGAACTGCAGACAGCAACTTATTGCTCGTATGGTCACGTTTATACATGCAGTAAGATGCTGTCTGCAGTTCACTTAGCGGCCACCAGTGTCGCTACTAATAAGTGTTTCCCAATGGAGAGTGGTCTGGATGCAGACCTGGTGCAGTGCAGTCTGTGCTGCATCCAATGCTCTTTAATATGCTCTTTTTTTATTATTTTTTTAATTTAACTCAATGCCACAAGAACGAGAGGTATTACATTTCACATATTTCTGAAAAAGAGAGAAAAATATATATATATTTAATATAAGTATATAAGTAAATATATATTATATATTATATATATATATATATATATATATATATATATATATATATATATATATATATATATATATATATATATATATATATATATATATATATATATATAAAATTATATTTACATTAAATTAAATGTTTTTAGAGCATTACATGTTTTCAGTGCTTTTTTGTTTTGTGATTGTTCTAAAAGATTTACATATACTTTAAAGTCATTTACAAAATGGGCAAAATTTGGTTTACATTGAGCCCACTTTTTCTTATGTATATGGTGTTTTCCTAACAACATAAACAAATTAAAAATATATTGTCCTTTACAGTTCAAGTTCTCATTATCAGAATAAAACAGAACATCAAATAAACACATTTCTATCTTAAACTCCATTTTTTTGTTAATAAACTATTCTAAATCTTTCCAAAATATTCTTGAGTAAATACAATGAAAAAAAAAGATGCAAAATTGTTTCTTTTTCTTGACCACAAAATTCACATATTTATGAAATATTGAGTTTAAATCTTTCCAAAACATGTTTAGTTGGATAAATTCTATGGAGTGTTTTGTACGACACTTCTTTGATCTTGTTACTTAGGCAAAACTTATTTGTCAACTTCCAAGCTTTACTCCAAGAAATATTAGCAAATAATGAAAGTCAAAAATGTTTTGCTGTAGGTAGAGCCAACGAACGGAGAGCATTCTTTATAACCTTATTGTTACATTGTTGTTTTAATACATCAATATTTTCAATGAAAATGTTTTCACAATGATTACCTATGTAGGTCTCTTCTGAAATAGCTCTTTAATGGGCTCACCTCTAACCCTACCCGTCACAGTGATGTCACTAGCTCCATTTGAGTGCATTGTTTCTGACACTGCATTCCTGAGTAATGCAATCTCAGCTTGCATCATAAAGGCTGCATCCAGATACTATTGTCCCAATGGGCCATATGCACAGCTAGTGTTTTTCAGCCAACAATAAACTTCTGGTGAAAGGTTTATGTGACTATTTTCAATTCCGTAAGATTGCTTTTACAGCATGGATGTAGTAATGGAATAAAATCCAATCAGTTAAATAGACTTAAGCAAGTGGTGCATGACTGGAACTTGTAGTCCATATAAAGACGGATTTGTAGTTCTTTAGTGAGCTGCGTGTTTACTAGCGATCTGCCAGGACTAGATCGCTGGTGATTGTGACAGGTGAAGTATTTTTACTTGTGTGAAAATGCCTGAGACTGATGGTGCGAGAACTTAGTTACAAATGGCAACAGGGCCGGAGTGGGACTCTTTTTCAGCCCTGGAGTTTCAAGCCTCAGACCGGCCCACCTCAGTTCACGACTGACTATATTAAAATAAGGTCATTTCCAATTCAGTTTCTAATTACACTATCACAACTTTTTTTTTTGAGAAAACAGCTGCTTTAGAACTTTAAATGTTCAACAATCCTAACAGTATTACATGTCTTAACAATAAAAAAAATAAAAATAAATAAATAAATAATAATAATAACATACTCAGACGAGGATCAAACCCGGGTCGGCAGCATCGTAATCTAACGTGCTAATCACTGGACCACAACAGTTATATATTGAGAAGTGACTCATCTGAGTTATATCATCATTGAGTTATATCAGCCATATATCATCAGGCTGGCCATATATAAAAAGAGTAGAGCTGCGGTAAAATAACGAATAAGAAGACTGTGGTCAAGTAAATAAATAAATTAATTTAAACAGTGTGACTGCTGAGAGCAACAGATTGTGGAGCTAGGGACACCGGCCCTCGCGGCCAAAAAACGGACCGGCTCACCGGGAATTCTCCCGGTCCTCCCGATTAGCCAATCCGGGCCTGAATGGCAACCTTTTAGGAATTCTTACTATAAATTGAAATTCTAATAAGGCAGCTGACAACAATTTTACTCTTATAGTGTGGCATACTGCAATGTGACAAAGACCAAACCAAAAGATTTTCAATCAAAGTTTGAAATGTAAACACAGAAATCTTGCGAGACTCGAGAATAGACATGGCAGACGATAGGCAGGAAGGATTTGCTGATGCTCTGTTCTCTGTCCTGACTGCATTTGATACGCTGTTCACTTCTGTCAGCTTGCTTTATGATTGGAGATTTTTTTTTTTTTACGTGATAGTCTCCAGATTGTACATGTGTTTGTCTACGGTGACTTTCTCCTGAAATTCAAATGATATTGTGCTCCCAGCCCCTATTTTCAAAAGAGGGGGGAGCTACAAATGCCTACGTGTCTGCATAGTGACAGATTCAAAAACAAGATAAAAGTCCTATGCTAATGAGGAAGAGATTGTCACTAATGGGCGGGGTTTTCTCCCTCTGATGTCATGTACAAAGAAAGAATGTCAATCAAAGTATTTCTGCAGACTGTTTTTATGAAAGTATGATTATAAAAAATAAAATGTAGGCATTTATACCATTAGCAGCTGGTTATATTCACACACTGTAGCCACACAACTCTGTTTAAACCCCTTAAAAAGTGATTTTTGCATAATAGGTCCCCTTTAAATTGTGTATTAATTGTGATTTCAATGTTTCAAGTGGATAAAACAGGCAGCTAAGGAACAAATCAATTTGAGTTTAGATGGTTTAATTGACATGTTTGTACCTGCAGGTGGCGGAGTGGGGAATCCGTAAACTGGGCCTGGTGAAGTATGTGGACAAAAACGCTGGAAGCTACAGTGGAGGAAACATGCGCAAACTGTCCACCGCCATATCACTGATTGGAGCTCCACCAGTGGTCTTCCTGGTAAGTGGGTATACTCACACACACTTTATTTATATGTATTGCGGGGCTTACAGGGACACTCCATGTATAAGCATACCGCTAAACCCAACCAAACTGGCAAATTTCAAACAATAAAAGCCCCTGTTAAGGGTTAAAAAGCCCCCGTTTTTAAGCATTTTAAATTACAGGGGCACAAGGTGTGACCCTGTACACCAGTGTTTCTCAACCATGTTCCTGGATGACCACCAGCACTGCATGTTTTGGATGTCTCTTTTGTCTGTCACCCCCATTATAGGTCTTTCAGACCTTGCTAATGAGCTGAGGATCTGAATCAAGTGTGTTTTGTTAAGGAGACATCCTCCAGGAACATGGTTAAGATGTTCAGTGGCGTTAGTGATAGTCAGTAGCAATAGTGATGTTCAATGGTGATAGTGATGGTCAATGGTGATAGTGATGGTCAATGGGGGTAGTAATAGTCAATAGCGTTAGTGATAGTCAGTGGCGATAGTGATGATCAATGGCAATAGTGATGTTCAATGGTGATAGTGACGGTCAATGGGGGTAGTAATAGTCAATGGCGGTAGTGATGTTCAGTGGCGGCAGTGATAGTCAGTGGCGATAGTGATGGTCATTGGCGGTAGTGATGTTCAATGGTGGTAGTGATGTTCAATGGTGGTAGTGACGGTCAATGGGGGTAGTAATAGTCAATGGCGGTTGTGATGTTCAGTGGCGGTAGTGATAATCAGTGGCGATAGTGAAGGTTAATGGCGGTAGTGATGTTCAATGGTGGTAGTGACGCCCAATGGGGGTAGTAATAGTCAATGGCGGTAGTGGTTTTCAATGGTGATAGTGACGGTCAATGGGGTAGTAATAGTCAATGGCGGTAATGATGTTCAGTGGCGGTAGTGATAGTCAGTGGCGGTAGTGATGTTCAGTGGTGGTATTAATAATCAATCAGGGTCGTTTTGGTCAATAGTGGTAAAGACAGTTAATGGTGGTAGTGATGGTCAATAATGGTAGTTTTGGTCAATAGCCATAATGATGGTTAATTGCAGTAGTGATGGCTACTGGCAGTAAAGTTGGTCAATGGTGGTAGTGATAGTAATTAGCGGTAGTAATGGTCATTGGTGGTAGTGATAGTCAGTAGCAGTAATGATAGTCAATGGCGGTAGTAAAAAAGTTGTTTTTCTGTTACATTTCTTCTCATATTATTATTATTATTATTTTTTAAGTCTAGCCTATATTAGATGGCATAAGCTAATTACTGTCAGATTTTGACAATTTCTTAAAGCATCTGCAATATGTGCAGTATTTAGTCTTGTATTTCATGTCTTTGTAAAGAATCATTATTTTAATGTATCAGTCAATATTGTTTTAATGTTATGATCTAATCGAGAACATTAACAAGTCCCTTGAATAAATAAAGCAATTCAATCTAACTTCGAGTCCAGCTTTGTTTTGTTTTTAAGCATCTCAACCAAAGCATTTGTAGGAATGAAATCATTCATGATAGTAATATGGAACTGTAATGCGGTCAAGACCTGCCTTGAACTACTCCATCTGTGCTTTTGGATGAGTTATAATTTTGATTGAACAGCCTATATAGCATAAGCTGTAATAATATCTACAGTAATATTCTAATAATTGTTTTACCAATGTGCGATTGTGACACACATCTTGGGTCTATTCACTGCAGCTTGATGCCTATTAGAATGCAGTTAGACCCAATAATTTATAACATATGAAGGCAAAAAAATTGTGTTTTATTTTGATCAAATTAATATTAGTAAAATCGATATTATACAGAATACCCAGAGATCTTCCTGCTAAAGTTGATGTTCATTGTGTTTCTTGCTAACCTGTGGCTGAATCGGAGTCCTGTTGTGTGTTGTTTGCTTGCAGGACGAGCCCACCACTGGGATGGACCCCAAAGCACGCAGAGCCCTGTGGAACTGCATACACAGCGTCATCAAAGAGGGCCGATCTGTTGTTCTCACCTCACACAGGTATGTTCAGCAGGCTTTCATTACTGGTGACCAGTAATGTGTTTTACAAAATTAATTCTAACAATTTCAATATTACTAAGTTAATGTTAAGCATAAAATGAAAAAATCTAGTTAAAAAATAAGTACTATTATGAAAATCACTAAGAAGAATTACTATGAACATACATTGTTTATTTATCATGTATATATGTGCACATTGTGCAAATAATATATAATTAAATTTTAAAAAAAAGAAAAATTATTTACTAATTTACTAATTATATTATATATATATTAACTAATAATTTTCTTTTCGGCTTAGTCCCTTTATTAATCCGGAGTTGATACAGTGGAATGAACCGCCAACTTATCCAGCATGTTTTTACGCAGCGGATGCCCTTTCAGCCACAACCCATCACTGGGAAATATAAAAAAAATTAAAAAAATAAATAAATAATACTAATAATAATAATAGTTATTTAAATAAAAGGTCGAAGCAGTGGCGCAGTAGGTAGTGCTGTACAGCAAGAAGGTTGCTGAGTCACTGGTTCAAACCTCGGCCCTGGGTATCCTGCAGGTGCTCCGGTTTCCCCCACAATCCAAAGACGTGAATTGGTAAGGCTAAATTGTCCATAGTGTATGAGTGCGTGTGTGTGTATGTATCCCAGAGATGGGCGTAAAAACGTGCTGGATAAGTTGGCGGTTTATTCCGCTGTGGCAACCCCGTATTAATCAAGAGACTAAGCCGACAAGAAAACGAATGAATGAATGAATATTTAAATAAACTATTTACAGAGAGTACTATATTATTACAACAATGACAATAGTTTCGTACAAGAACAAAATATTTCCAGCCAATCATTTTATACTTCCGTTCTTGAGCAGGTGGGACAAAATGTTTGGCCCCATTTACAGATTTATGTTGCTTGTTCAAGCTACTTATTTATAATGAGCTAAACCAACACAATTCTTAAGTTTTGTTTAATGCTCAATCCACTTAAATTTGTAAAAACGATTCAGTTAACTTTATCGATTTGTGTTGAGTCAACATGAAGGAATTATGTGGAAATCAGCATTATTTACAGTGTGACAAAACCAGAATGATCCAGTTTTAAACAGGTGCACTGAGCAAAACAGCAGCACTAAAAACACAAACACACAACACAATGTCAAACACAAACACACACAGGGATTGACTAATTATTTTAGCTTAGCTTAGACGTCCAGCTGTCACTATGTGTCAGTGGCAGTTTTCCTCAAACTGACCCGTGTTCTGTTCTCTCTCAGCATGGAGGAGTGTGAAGCTCTGTGCACCAGAATGGCCATCATGGTGAACGGCAGGTTTCGCTGTCTGGGCAGCGTCCAGCACCTCAAGAACAGGTAAGACCACTGCTAGTGTGGAGTATCCTAGAGTGGGGGGGTGGGGGTTAGTGGGAGGGGGTAAAACGGTCAATCATTTTAATAAGAAGTTAGTTCAAACCTTACACTTTATCACAGATTATTGCAATCTAATTAAGCGATTTAAAATCCGCATGAACTGGAAGATTTTTTCTCCGTATTGTGACGCATTCTTAGAAAAAATAGAATGTTATATGAGCAGACAGTGGGTGTGGCTTGTTTTTTCTACTGCGAGCTGATTGGATGTATTAAAGTGGGCATTTCATTCAAAGAGATTGGGAAAAGGGTTTAGGGAGGGTTATTACAACATAACAGACTCATCCTCCTCACCATTTCTGTTTGTTGTCATAGCACTGACAGTTGGAAGGGGCGTGGTTACATATGTTAGCCCCGCCTAATACCTCAGACTAAATCTGAGAATTTACCTGAAAACAAACAGGAAGCGTCCAAAAGGGCATACTTCCATACTATATAGTTTGCTAAAAAAGTATGCGAGCCGAGTAGTATGTCCGAACTCATAGAATTCGAAAATCAGTATGCGAGAGGTACCCTGATGACTTACTGCTTCCTGTGAGATTCTGAAGTGCACATTCCATGCACGCAGCACTATCCCATGATGCCCCACGAGAGAATTCATGAATGGTAGTAAAGCGATGCAAGTGTAAGTCACGTGACCATGACAAAATGGCGGATCTAGTACATCCGATTTCCATTCACACTGTTTACATTCATACTGTATAGAACGTACTTCACCAGTGGCGCCTGCAGCCGTACGGCTGTACGCACTGTGCGTACCTACCACGAGAGGGCGGGAATTAATGCCGCTTTTTATTTATTTATTTATTTGTGACATAATTTTTTATTGATTATTAAACAGTATACACTACAGCTGCCTGCTTTTCCACTATCGAGCCAAATCGTTCTGAGAACACTTGGGTATGGTTACGTTTGTTTCTCCACTGAGGACTCCGGAAGAGAACTCAACAGCTACATGCACTGCTGAAAGACTTTTTGTTTCTGCTGTGCATCGAATAAAGACACGCTTAACATTATTTAAGTTCACAATCGTATAGCTAAATACTATATCCAAGAAACACGAAATGACTGCACTTCAGTCAAGCCAGACGTCTTGTTTTGTGATTTAATGCCGGCTATACCACCCGAAGAACGGTTACGGCGTGTTGAGATGTCGGCCGTCACCGGAGAAAGTCTAATCTTTCATTACTTTATTGGGGTTGTGTTTGAAAGCTTTATTGGCACTGTAGCTGCCAAGATACTGCTTTATGAGTTAAATTATAGCCTATATATGCACCAATAAACAGATCAAATTAATGAATAAATAAAATAAATATGGATTCCTTAAGGCTGATTTATACTTTTGCGTCAAACGCACGCGTATGCTACGGCGCTGACGCATAGCCCTTCGCCGTGGCCGTCGGTGTCGCTGACGTGCACCTCTCAAAAAATGTAACTACACGTCGCAACGACGCGTAGCGCAAGCTCTGTGATTGGTCGGCTTGGTAGCTCTGACGAGTCTGGGCGGGACCGAGAGTCACGTGAATGGTGCGAGCCTGATAGAGCGATTATTTACAAGTGTGGAGTCACGTGAAGAAGCTCCTAATGGAAAGTTTTGGTTTGTGTTTACCTCAAAGTTAAAGTTGTTGCACGTCTGCTGGTTCCTGCCTCAAAATGAGCGAGTTTGAGCCACTTGTACATTCAGGAAGTGTTCAGGAAAGGCAAAACAGCAGCGAAGAAACTCGACACAGAGGAACATTTACACCTCACTGCCAACTAGCGTTTCGGAAGTGTTAATGCAGACCGACAGAGACAGAGCGCAGAAGTATAAATGCACAGCTACGCGCGTTGCATGCGCCGTGGGTTACGCCGGTCACTTGACGCAGAAGTATAAACCAGGCTTTAATGCCGGTATAGTTTTTACTAAAAAAAATAATAATAAAATGTTTTATAAAAATAAAAAGCAATTTTCGCAATTTTTTACGATTCGGTTAAATATAATTTGGACATTTATGGGGGCATGTAACATGTTTCTGTTTTTTTTTTTTGTTCTCAGTGATCTTTAATACATAAGGGGTAGCTATGCAAAATATTTTCTAAAATGTCAAGCAGGATTTTGTCTATAGCTTTAATTATGAAGACAATAAAATATTAAAACTAACAAAAATAAAATAATAAAAATTCAAAGAATTTAGCAGAATTTTGCTAAATTATAAAAAAATGTTAATTTTATTTTACTTGATGCATTCGTTATTTAATGTTTGAATACTGAAATAACAGCCATCGGAAGGGGGCGGGGCGGTGCTGGATTTGTGCGTACCTTGGAAAGAAATCCTGCAGGCGCCCCTGCATTTCACTATCAGTCGAGTGGTACGTTTAAATTCGAATGCTGTACCAACTGAGTAGTAGGCGGCTTCGGATGCAGCCAAACCCTTTTTTAAATGACATGCACAGATGAATCGTTCACCTCAAAACTAACAATGTGAGCTAACAAAATCAATATGGTTAGTTTTGATTTGATGTGTACTTGTGTCATTTCTGTTCAAGGCTTTAGTTCAGTTTAGAAGAGTTTGTGGTGCTGAGATTTGATTATAATAAAAATGTTTATGGCTGTGTTTGTGTTGCTGCAGATTTGGCGACGGGTACACCATCATTCTAAGGGTGGCAGGCCCTGATCCCGACCTGCAGCCGGTGATGAAGTTCATCGAAAGCGAACTTCCAGGGAGCACGCTGAAAGAGAAGCACAGAAACATGCTGCAATATCAGCTGCCTTCATCACTCACATCCCTCGCTCACATCTTCAGCATCCTCGCCAAAAACAAAGAGTTCCTGCGGATAGAGGATTACTCCGTCTCCCAGACCACACTAGACCAGGTGAGAGCGCCGTCAGTCACTGCACTCAAACATCTGTATCTTACAAAACAGCAGTATATAATGAAGGATTTTGTTGGAGTGTGAATAGTTTATATATCGTATTATTTTATATTAATATGTAGAATGAAATTAAATGTAATAATAAAACATATAGTAAATTCATTCATTTTCTTGTCGGCTTAGTCGCAGTGGAATGAACCGCCAACTTATCCAGCACATTTTTACGCAGCGGATGATATTATGCGATTGTATTGTATTGCAATATGGAACAATTAAGTGTTCATGTTAAATCAAAAGTAATTCACAAATACTTGAAAATTAGATGTTTTAATGACAATAATTCTGTATGGTCACAACTGAATTAATTACAAAATAACTGTATAAAATGATCAATTAAAATGATAAAAACATATTATATATATTGTACCCAGCTTAAATGTAAAATTAAAGTTACCAGACGTAGAAGGAGAGACACAGGGAGGGAGAGACAAAGAGAGCAAGTAGCCCTCAAAGAGGCAGAGAAGATAGACTCCAGAGGAGAGGAGTAGACCAGGAAAAGACAGCCCAGAAAAAGAGCTAGAGCAGACTTTTACACCTATTTTGTATCTTTCTTGACCATGTGACTAAAGCCCAAATGCTGAGACATTCAAACTGACCAATCAACATGTGACAACATCATAAATCCCCCAAAGTCCACATATCAAGCCCTGATCTTATCAGTATCTGCCTTTGGAGTCAGTATGGACCTTAAGTCAAAAAGACATGGTGTGTCATATAAACAAATGCATATGATAACTTAGCCTCTTACAATTATTTTAGTTTACTATTTGTTTATATTAATATTTGTTTATATTAGTTTAATACTTCTAAATATACAATTATATTACTTTAATATTTAATATTAATTAACTAATTATATTGGTTAATTATATTTACAAAAATATTAGTTTGTCGTGGACAAAAGTAAACAGCTGGGGCGTGGCCCCTAATAGTAATTCTGTGGGCCCCAAAACCCACCCCCAAATGACGCATTTGTATATATACATAGTACATTTACCTATTTATATCAGAATTTCTGATATTTCAGACATTAAGAAATCTTGAATGAAAACAAGGAAACTATCCCTTTTTTTGCAAAGATGCATTGTGCAAAATATAAGTAAATTATGTACATTTTAAAATGTTTTTTTATGCTTCATATTTACCATCTTGAACACCACTGTAAATGAAGAGTGAAAGTTAATATTAGCATTTTGATGAGACTTTCTTTTTGTCATGCTATGTTTAATTAATCTAAAATATTCAACATTTGTCGGAAACATTTTAAATTTGTTTTTTAATTGAGAAAAAGAATAGGATAAAATAGGGTTTTAAAAATATGATAAAATAAAATTATTCTTATTTATTTAAAAAAAGATATGATATTGTTTCATAATCATTTCGTATTGAAAATCCCTAAATTTCATTTATTTTCCTTTAGCTTAGTCCCTTATGGCCAGTGAATACAGTATGAATAAATGAATATATATGAACACATACAGCCCCATACAGTCTTCGATATGTTACCAACTACAGAAAAACTACACACAGCAGACATTTAGTCCTTATTTGGGTTCAAAAACAACACAAAATAAAGTCCACAGTCAGAGCAAACCTCTCTTCTGTGTCTAATCTTCAGCAGCACATGTAGCCTCCGTTAGAAAGTAATTTAGTCATTCTTAGTTCATAATAGTCAAAGAGACGATGATAATAGTAAAACATGGCAGTTTGTTCACGTTTTAGGTTGCTGAAACAATCATTTTCTCCTTTGGTTTTTCCGGCTTCTACCTTTGGTTTTTTTTGTGCGTCAGTCTCTCGTTTGTTCATTTCTGAAAGGATCGGATGTCATTATCACTTTAATAATCACGCGCATGTTACTATCATCAGCTCAATAAGTTTATTTCAAATATAGACGTGCATGCGAGCGCAAGCGAAAAAAGTAAACCAATAGGATTCAGCTGCACTTCTAGCTCCGTCTTTTGGTACCCTTTTGTTGTGCTAGGTACCCTTTGCAAAGGGTGACTAAATTACATAAAAACGTACTGAACCAAACTGTACCACTCAGTGGAAACGGGCCATTATTTATCAGGGGTTGCCGCAGCAGAATGAACCACCAAATATTTTGGCATATGTTATACGCAGTGGATGCCCTTCCAGCCGCAACCCAGTACATAATATGAAGAGAAAAAAAACTGAGGAAGGCATAGTGTCGAAACGTTTGTGTCTTTAAATCACCCCAAGTGTAAAAAGAAAGAAAAAAAGAAGAAGAAAACAGTACAAAGCAATTACTTGATGAGGGCGTATCATTATGTTTTTGAATAGCATTGACAAGATTAACACACCAAAGAAGTTTCTTTAAAAATCGCAAGCTTGCAGGTCAAACTTTAGCACTCTACGCAACAAAATAAATATTTTAAAAAAATAGCTTTAAAAAATTTCCAGGCTTGTGAAAAGTGTGCGGTAAAAACGATGCTTTCTCCTAACATGATCACTAAACGCTCTTCTCCTCAATCTCCAGGTGTTTGTAAACTTTGCGAAGGACCAAAGTGACGACCACTCGGACAGCTCAATCAGCCGTAAAGGGACGGCGGTGAACATGGCCCTGCTGACTCCGCTGTCCACTAAAGACAGCCTGGAGAAGCCCATGGAGAGCTTCGTATGAGCCGGACTCTCTCTTTACACTACATGCCAACGGGAGCCAGTGGAGTCCACACATTTCACATCTTTTTTATTTTTTGTGGCCTTCGAGCTGCAGTCTGCCCTCCTGATCCTCAGGCTGGAGATAAACCCGTGAGAGGCAGACGCCAAATGCAAGTCAATGCAAAAAAAAAAAAAAAAGAAATCAGAAAGACTTCTTGCGTTTCTAGCATGGCGGAATTCAAAGCATGCTAGTCGCGACGTTAAAACTTGAAGCCATCAATTCTGGTGTGTTTAGCGACAGTCGTCGATTATTTGAGATAATCGGCCTGATGGGGGGAAAATGCCAATGATCAATCATTCAGGGGTCCGTGTGTTTGCATTTTATTTTTTCGTAAGAAAACTGGAAATCACGTGCTGAAGAATCAATTTTTTTGCACGGAAAACCTCCAAATCGTACCTATTTTGGAAATGATTATGTTCGTGATGTGTCTTTATTTATAAACAAGCCATTGTTTTAGATGTTTTACAAAAGGGCATTGTTTTATTTTACTCCTAAAGTGCCTTGCGATAACTTTATAGTAAACACAAAATATTTGTGTGCGGGCGAAAACAAAAACGATTGATTTATTATTATTATTATTATTTTTAAATAAAGTAAGCTTTAAAGTTACACCGTGTAACAAATACCTCGAATGACAGCAAATCACTCAAACAACTGAGAAGAAAATCAGTTCAAACAAACCAATCGTGTGCCTTCTTTGGGAAAAAAAAGAGGCGTGTCCTGTGAGTCTATTATTGATGGACCAATAAGAATACAGAGCTTCCAGCTGTATTAAATTGAGTACAGTAAGGGTGATCGGTCCGTTTTCATCATTGAATCAGTATTTTGGATCTCTTTGGGAGAGGCGACAGCAATGTCAACCTTTCATCCGAGCACTTTACTTGCTGCGTTAATTGAAAATTTTGATTTAATGTCAAAACGTGTTAATCTCTTTGCACTGGATTTTCCACAGACAATGTTTTTGCCGCTTTTTTTTTTTTTTTTCCTCAGTGACCGTTTAGTTTCGGTTTGGGTTCGAACAAAGTGATTGCAAACCTAAAAGGACAAACGTTTTAGCACCACCGTTATGTTGCTCATTAATATCTGTTTACATTTCAAACTTATGGCTGTGGAATGTCTGTTACTCGTCTTGTACACTTACTGTATTTACACAATAAAACACAACAGTTCTACAACCCTAACGTCTGTTTCATCTTAGTGCATCAGTTATTGAATTATCTACCTAATAATGAATTATTTAGCACCATAACTGCTATCGGTATATCCAACGCAATTTTTATACTGCACAAATACTCACCGGCCACTTTATTAGGTACACCTTACTGGTACCAGGTTGGACCCCTTAAGTCTTCAGTACTGCCTTAATCCTTAGTGGCGGAGATTCAACAAGGAACTGGAAATATTCCTCAGAGGTTTTGGTCCATATTGACATGATAACATCACGCAGTTGCTGCAGATTTGTCTTGATGCGAATCTCCCATTCCACCACATCCCAAATGTGCTCTATTGGATTGAGCTCTGGTGACTGTGGAGGCCATTTGAGCACAGTGAACTTATTTACATGTTCAAGAAACCAGTCTGAGATGATTCGCGCTGTGGTCATAAAGGGTTGGACATGGTCAACAACAAAGGTAGGCTGTGGCATTGACATGATGTTCTATTGGTACTAATGCTCAGAAAATATCCCCCACACCATCACACCACTACCACCAGCAGCCTGATCCACTGATACAAGGCAGGATGGATTCATGCTTTTATGTTGTTGCCACCAATTTCTGACCCAATCATCCGAATGTCACAGTAGAAAGTGAGACTCATGGAAGTGTTTTTCCAATCTTCTATTGTTCAATCCAGTTTCCTGTTCTTAGCTGACAGGAGTGGCACCCGGGGTGGTCTTCTGCTGCTGTAGCCCATCTGCTTTAAGGTTGGACGTGTTGTGCATTCAGAGATGCTCTTCTGTGTACCTCAGTTGTAACGAGGCTTTTTATCAGCTGGACCCAGTCTGGCCATTCTCCTCTAACCTCTGGCATCAACAAGACATTTGCGCCCACAGAACTGCCGCTCTCTGGATATTTTCTCTTTTTTTAACCATTCTCTGTAAACCCTAGAGATGGTTTTGTGTCCCAGCAGATCAGCAGTTTCTTGAATATTCAAACCAGCCCGTCTGGCACCAACAACCATGCCACGTTCAAAGTCACTTTAATCACCTTTCTTCCCCATTCCGATGCTCGGTTTGAACTGCGTCGTGATCATATCTACATGCCTAAATGCACTGAGTTGCTGTCATGTGATTGGCTGATTAGAAATCTTCGTTAACGAGCAGTTGGACAGGTGTACCTAATAAAGTGGCCGGTGAGTGGACAGTTTTGACAGCATATTGATTGCTTATGTTGGTTCAGTTATACACAGATATGTTCGGTGAAGCAGTAAGAGTTTAATAAGAAATAAACACAGCTTTCTGACCAATCAGAGTCAAGGACTGAAACTGTCCATTCTAATTTTGATATTATTGGCATTGTAGAAAAGAATTGACGTTAAACTGTAAAAAATGCAGGGTTCCACACAATTCCTTCATGTTGCCACAACACAAATTGATTGAGTTTACTTAATCATCTGTACAAATTGAAGTGGATTGAACATAAAACAATTACGTTGTCCCAAAAAACACCTCAGGAATTGTGTTGGTTCAGCTCATTTCAAAGAAATAGTTTGAATAAGCAGCAAAAAGTCATTTTTAAGCGTATGCTAATGCTGGCGAAATCTTGTGATGCAATGCAAATCTCTTTCATTTGATTCACACTTTTTATTTGTCCATCAGCAAAACATATCAACGTACTGCCAAGAATTACACATGGTTATCTGAATTACTGCAGAACTCTTGACCGTTCACTCCGTTCCCCTGATTTTGGAGTGAAAGCATGAGACAGTTTTATTTGATTGGTGAGAACGAACAGGGGAACATGAGTTTGTTCTTCTGTGCCACCAGGTATAAAGCGCTTTCCCTCACTGGAGAAACACACAACAATATAAAGAATAGGTGAAATATAGTGCATATAAGAGCCCTTCTATGACAAACTAAAAATCAGAATGCTCTAATAATCATGGTACAGTAGTGTGTTGTGTAATAATAATTATAATAATAATAATAATAATAATAAGATATTATTCAGATTTACCTGCCGCCACCACTCTGGCATCTTCATGTGATGTATGGCGTACTGCTGCCCGCTGGTCAGCACTCTCATACCACCATAACACATGCACTGAACATACAAAAAAATATCAGAAATATGTAAAACAGTAGATTTTTCCCCATGAGTTAATATTAATGAAATCTTAAATGATATCTATCTATCTATCTATCTATCTATCTATATATATATATATATATATATATATATATATATATATATATATATATATATATATATATATATATATATATATATATATATATATATATATATATATATATATATATATTTATTTATTTATTTAAGACAGTAAGGTCTGACTTTGCTTAGACAAAAGTCTTGTCACTAAACAGAAATAATGTACAGTATAGAATATAAACTCATGCTGCAGTGGAAACAGAATGAATATTATGTATGACTCCCATGAGCTTGGAGGACTGCATCCATACATCTCTGCAATGATATAAATCACTTATTAATAAAGTCATCTGGAATGGCAAAGAAAGCGTTCTTGCAGGACTCCCAGAGCTCATCAAAATTCTTTAGATTTATCTTCGATGCCTCCTCCATCTTACCCCAGACATGCTCAATAACGTTCATGTCTTGTGACTGGGCTGCCCAGAGGAACCTGCTTATAGGAACTTTGATGTGGAGGCTGAAGTATGAGGAGCGTTATCCTGCTGAAGAATTTGCCCTCTCCGGTGGTGTGTAATGTAATGGGCAGCACAAATGTCTTGATACCTCAGGCTCTTGATGTTGCCATCCACTTTGCAGATACTGAATGTGACTCCGAACCATGATTTTTCCTTCACCAAACTTGACTGATTTCTGTGAGAATCTTGGGTCCATGCTGGTTCCAGTAGGTCTTTAGCAGTATTTGTGATGATTGGGATGAAGCTCAACAGATGATTCATCGACCTTCTGCCACTTTCAAGTGATCAACAAGAAGTCAACTTATTATTTTTTGCTCTTACAACTGGGATCGAGTACTAGACTTTTGCCAGGTAGTGTATTTTGTCGGGTTATTTAAAGGGTCATATATCATCATGATATTAGTTTTTAATTGCTTTAAAACATATCTGCATCTCTGGTGTCCACTCACCTTGATTGAGCTGTCCAAACTCAGAGTGGAAAACCCCAACCGAATGAGCATATCCTGATCCCGTATGTGTGCCCACTGCTGCCTGAAATGCCTTGCCCCACACAGCCGGACCACCCGATTTCATCTGGAAAGTGGCCAGCTCGAAAACCCCTTCATGTCATTAACAAAAGTAGTTCAGGTCAGTTTGCTGAAGTTTTGTTCTGTGAAGAATTTACTCTGATTTGTAATGGGAGAATGAGGAATATTTGGGAAACGTGTTCGAAAACAGTCATTATGATTTTATTTTTATTGAACTCAACAAACCGTTAACTATTTTTATTCGGTTATGTTTTTGGAACCATGTCAATGGTTTAAAACATTCTTCATAATATCCTCTTGTTTTCTTCAAAAAGCTTTGGAAGCACTTGAGGTTGAGAAAGGTTGAGTTTCCCTTTAAAGCACACATTCTTACCGCCTTCTTTAGGTGGCTTCTGAATTTTGCTCCAGGGTACGAGGTACGTCACCTCATTATCTTGAGAGCTCAGCATGGGCATGGCTTTCGAGATGTACTGCTCATTCCAGCTGGGGTCCTGAGCTAGGGCAGCCCGCACAGACGCCCGCTGGGCATAGCTGTCTAAACAACATTATGGAAAAGACAGAAAAACATTTCTTTTGATAATTCACATACGCATAACATAATTTTTTATTTTTATATATAAAGGTTGTGATGTTTGTGAGGCAATTTGACCAATATTGATTCAAATGTATTTCATGTTTTTGCGTTATTTTAATTATTGGATTATTTAAATAACATTTTATTTATTAGTTTGCTTTTATTTTGTACTGATGCATGGTAAAATATTTGTTATTTCTTGTAATCATTTTTATAACATATTTATATATTAAAATGTATTTTAATAAAATTTATTTCATGAGTTTGTTTTATTTTAATTATCAGATTATTTAAATTGCATTTTATTTATTATTATTTTGTTTTTCTTTTATACTAATGCATGTTAACATATTTGTAATTTCTTGATACCTTTTATGTAACATATTTAGATTTTTAAATTTATTTTAATAAAATTTATTTCATGATTTATGTAATTTTAAATGTTGGATTAATTAAATATTATTTTATTTATTATTTTTTATGCTAACGCATGTTAATATACTTATTGGACTTTCTTATTACCTTTTATATAACATATTTATATTTTAAAATGTATTTTAATAAAATGTATTGCATGATTTAGTTTTGTTTTAAATAACATTTATTTATTGTTTTTATACTAGTGCATGTTAATGTACTTCTTGGAATTTCTTGTTACGTTTTATATAACATATTTACATTTTATGATTTATTTTTATAAAATTTATTTAATGATTTTGTATTATTTTAATTAATGTATTATTTAAATAACATTTCATTTATTAGCTTTTTTATTTTATGCTAATGTAGGTTAATATACTTCTTGCACTTTCTTGTTAGCTTTTATATAATATTTTTATATTTTAAAATTTATTTTAAGAAAATGTATTGCATAATTTATTTTTATTTTAATTGATGCATTATTTAAATAACATTTTGTTTAATTTTTTTTACTAATGCATGCTAATATACTTTTTGGAATTTCTTGTTACTTTTTTATAACATATTTATAATTTAGAGATTTATTTTAATAAAATGTATTTCATGATTTTGTATTATTTTAATTATTGGATTATTTAAATAACATTTTATTTATTAGTTGTTGTTTTTATACTAATGCATGTTAATATACTTCTTGTAATTTCTTATCTTTTTCTACACTATCTTTTGGTGATCTTATGTACAGCTTTATTATAAATGTGCTTTATAAATAAATATTGTATTTTATTTGACATATTTTAATAAACATTTTAT